GTAGGCATGGCCTTCCAGAACAGAGCCAGCTCCAATCCGGGTGAAAGAAACCCCACTACAAGAGATCCTGGAGCGAAAGAACACATTTACAGAAACACTTGCTCTAAAAATCACTCTGCTTCAGCTCTGCTCTGCAAAGCTGAGAACACCAACAAAGCAGAGTCATAAAAACAGTAAAATGCAGTGAATACTAAACATAAGCACTCTTGGACTTCTGCCTCAGTTTAGACTACTGGAACTACAGTAACTGTACTATAGAAAATAGTTGTTGCATGGCATTTTTATCAGCATGCAGTGACCATTTTGTGAACTTGCCAAAGGAACATTCAATCCTATTTGGAAAATCACATGTCCGTGCTGAATATAACAGCACTGGATGCATTGCATATTTTCAGTAATTGCTTTGGCTGAAGTGGTGCTCATTGAATGCTACTGTCCACAGCTTAGAAGGATTTCATTTTTGCCAGGTGCTGTTGCTAAGCCAACACCTGTGGAGTTGTGTAAGGCCCTCTTGTGTGAATGTGGTAAATGCCTTTACTGCCAAAAACTGAGGAGGAATGCAAGAGATGTGCCTCATTAGCTTTTTCTTCAGCTGCATTTTTTTCTGGATTTCTATGTGTGCGTTTAAGAGAGAAAGAGAGAGCTTGTGTATTAGGTGAAGCCCTCAAGGAGGAGGCATATGAGCGGCCCAAGTACACGGGTGCGTGCTCGTGTTTTTGTATTAGCGAGTGTGCGTCCGCCATGTGCCTGTCTGTGTGTGACTGCAGTGCGAATAGCCCCACAGTACCTTCTAGAGGGACCCTGCCGCAGCACAAAGAGACCCTTGTCTTGAGGTGTCACAGAACAGTATGTATTAGACACCATATTAAATGTCCCCTAAGCATAGAGGAAGTCTGACGAGGGGTGAGGCCATGCCAGGGAGCCACCAAAGAGGCTTTTGACAGTGGCCAAAACAGATGGCTGGGAATGGAGAAACAAGGTCAAAGGACACCGAACACACTCTCTCCGCTCTTTTCTCCTCACCGCATTCGATACGATTGAGCATCATCTGATGTTTGCCTCACTTTTTAATTAAAATGGATGCTTTGGAATAGGAGCTTCGTTGTTTTCCCCCCAAAGGTGCTTAAGGGGGGAAGTAAAGATAAAAGAGAGGCTTTGTGTCTGGCCGCTGAATGAAAGGAACCACTGTGTTGACTGCTCGGAACAAGACCAATCAAAGATAACCTGTGTTCGAATGATAAGCGCTACATCGTTGGTTCAATGACATGTATCTACACGGGGGTTTGATAACTAGTGGTAACATGACCTTCCGGTGGTCCCATCGGTGTGATTATGGTCGCCACAATGCATGCAGACCCTCTTACGTGTTTTTCAGCACTATCTGCAGTAATCAAACGCTCTCCTGATCCTTTACTGGGTGATTTGTTGGGTGCGATCATGATAGTGTTTCAATGCCTGTCGATCACAATAATGGAAACTCATTAGAATGGTTAATTTAGCGTGCTTTGATTAGTGTGCTTCTTTCCATGCTGTACATTAAACACAGCAAGAGCCTTTACAAAATGAGGCGCAGTAATTACTAATGGTAAAACGAATGCCGTAGGTGATTATACACCATTTATCCTTGTACACGTCAAATTAGCGTCAAGTCAGTGAGCCTGATGTTTTGTTGGATCAAAATATCCAATTTCTGAAGTAGTAACAACTAAAGCAAGATTTTCCAGGTCAACCTCAAGAGTCATTCTGACAGTAAGACGTATTATACATTAAACATGTACAGCTGCAGAACAAGGGTGACTGCTGGGACACGGAGAGGCTGTAAGACTATCCCGTTGTCCTCTTACCGTGAAGGGGAATGGCACAGGGCTCGCCTCTTTTCTCTGACTGACATGAAAGTCTCAGGCAAGTTCAGCCATGTTGCCTTGATGTTGTCACTGAGTTGAAATGTTAGGGTCAGCGCTTTGTGGGAGTTGGGTTCAGGCCCTGGCCCTTCCTCTTGCAGCTGTGTGAGGGGTTGTTGTCCGGAGCTGGTATGCTCTCAAGCTCGTCTATTGACGTATTAGGAGAAGCCAGCTGGACAGACAAAGCACAGTAAATAAGACTGGCCTGCAGCCCAATGCCCTACGGTACTGACAAACAAAATCTGATGTATATTTTGTTGAAATGAGGCATATGTTGTTAAAAAAATAATGCATATAATAAAAAATTTAGATTTCATATTGCCCCTAAAGAGATCATAAGCTGTGATCCATAAAGCACAGGCCTCTGCTATAGAGGTTTGGGATTAACATTTCCAGCTAATTTCATGGCCAAAAAAGGTCCATTGTCAACTGTCAATATAGCGTAACGATGTATAAAGCACAGTTCACACAGAAGTCACTTTAAAGCCAATCAGGTTTCTGCTGGTCAGCACTGATAATTCACGTGACCAACTTGAAAATGAGCAGCCTCAAATGAAACTCCCGATAGCGTGGATTCCTATTGGAATGACTGGATTTCGCCTATAATATTTTGCAGAAAAATGGTAAATGTGACCATGTTGGTGTTTTTTTTATTAATTACATATATATATATGCATGGATGCACTGCTGCATGAATGTTGCATATAACAAAGTTGATGTGTACATTTTAAAATAGAATTGAAGACAAAAAAGAAATACAGATTTCATTGAATTACCTGTGATCATTTGAGTTCGATTGTTGACGTGGTGCTCATTTTTCATCCTATCTGTTCATTTATTCAAAAATGCATTCAAAATGCAATTCGCACATTCGGTGACTTGAAAGCCCTTGTTTTATGATAAGCATAAATTTCGGTATTAAAGTTCATATTTCTTTAGGGATCACAATGATTTTTAAGAAAAGGATAAATGAAAGCTTGCATATACAATCCATCAAATTAGCTAATAACAATTCTAATGTCAACTTGATGCCTCACAGAATTACTTTGTGGTTTAGGGGCACTTAGAGGTTATAATAGTGACTTGCCATTGACCTATATTCAGATGTGCCAGAGGGGACCAAGCTGAGGCCCTGACACATCTGAATGCATGCTCTCCATGACCAATCAATAAGCCATTATCACTGCACTCTAAGACAATACACACTCTGTGTATCGTTTAGGCTTACGGGACACCCGCATTAGGACTTCAATATCATGCTCATGCAATTGATTTAGGTCAACTTGTTTTCCTCACCTTAAATAAAAATGTTTTGGCTTTTGGATGATAATTCTATAATCCGGTTCCCAAGCACTGTCACACTAAAGTGAGAACCAGGCCACTGTTAAGACCCCCCCAAAAAAACAAATCCTCCTAATCCTAAAGCTGGCAAAGTACTTCTTACACCTCGCCTGATTTTTGACTGACCACTTAAGCTGTGGAAGAAAACGAATTGGGTTAAAGGCATGCTTAAACCTCCACGCTTCACACGCTGCTATCCCATTAAACTGCTGTTCCAATACTCTAATCAACTTACAAACTTACTGCTTTGCCCTCTACCACAAAATCAACAAAACACAGAAGAATTTCCAGTGTTATCGTTTGAAACATCCCTGTGAGACGTACTGTATAGCGCAGCGTAACCCAATTTTGTGTATTTATATGAAAATGGGTTCATGTTTGGTCTCCTGCATTCTCTTTAAATTGATTTTGTATTGTGTTGACACTGTGGACCTGGTCTTGGATTTCTAACACTGCTGCTCCCCTGCTGGACAGCAGTAGTGCTGCTTTCTCGACAGTAAGAGGGTGTTTGTGGCCCCATAAATAACACTTTCACTGTAGCTATCCAGCACAGGAAGTACGTCTGTATTATGTCTTGTGGTCTTAGCATGTTATTGCTAAAAAGCTGATGATGTCATCCTATAATTCACTCAAGTCTGATTTTCAATTAGAATTTTCATATAAAATTTGCAGCTTTATATTTTACCCTTAGAACTGATTATATCATCACCAACCTGCAGGTTAGTCCATAATATAGTCGTACTATATTTATACAAGCATACAAGAAACATTATTTCAGTTAGGCCTATCTCTTTAGCAATGACATTAAATCATAATAATACATATTTTTTTTATTTGTGCCCTTCCAATTTAGTTTTTGTTAGCTTTCACGGGTGTAACTTTCACTGTGACTTTAAGTGTGGCTGTAAGTAAGTCTGTTTTATTTTTTATTTTTGCAGTGTTTTTTTTTTACATGTGTATCTTAAAAATATTAAGTCAATGCAGTTGCGTTCTCTCGCAAATGTTTTGCGTTCCCCGAGAAACTTTGTGCTCACTTGCAAAACCTATGTGTTCTTCTTTTGAGATTCTCGTCGGAAAGCACAAGTTTAGCAAGGGAACGCAAAACCATTGACTAATAATTTTGTTTCCCCCTTTTTTCCTTCACTATGTCCCTGTACTTTATGTGCACCTGAACACTTTTGAATTGAGTAGTGTATTGAAAAGAATTGCACATTCTTTAAGTTTAATGAGGGCAAGTATAAAAGGTTTCTAATTTTATAATAGCCTAGTACCAAGTATCAAAAACTAAAATAAAAATAATTAATTTTTTAGCATCATAGTTTTGGAGTCATGAAAGATTAGGTTACTTTTTCCCCCAACTGTTCGTTTCAGTTAATTAAAAAAATTTCATTTAGGTTCTGTTTTAATTTTTGTTACCTGCTACAGGTTTCCATATTGCTCTCCAGCTTTTGTTGTTAAATTAATTAAATTCCAAATATAAAAAAAAAAAAAAAAAAAAGAATTATTCAGACTACCTAAGTCTCTTTAATAAATAATCGGTGTACTAGGGTGATGCTATATGGTATTATTTTGTCCTGGTGTGTAACTCTGTTCGGTTTTCTTCTCAAAAATATAAAGTAAACCCAAAGCTCATCTATTTTTCTCCCTGCTGAAAGTGAGAGCTCTTGCTGTCAATCTGCGGCTGGGGTGTAGCTATGGTTAAGGAGGCGGGGTTTTGTGTGTCGGTGTGGGCGGGGTTTCCGCTAAACTCTGGGTTAGGTTGATTCACTATCGATCATTGGGGAAAGACAGGGCTAGATTTCCTTGTGGCGGATAAATCTGATGTGTAGGCAACATGAATCGGGCGATCGCGGGGCGCAGATTAATTTTAGCACGTTTACAGCTTTCTTTTGGATTGATTATTTTCGCCGATTAGATAAACGTATACAAATGAAATAGCTGTTTTTTTTCTCCCGTGTGAAGTGTTTTGGATCGGACTTGCCAACATCGCTACTTTGTTTCTCTTATGGACGTGTGTTACCTAAAAAAGTAGTCGCGTCTTAACAGAGTTCCGCGTCCCGTGAAGTTGGGAGAAGCGAGGCCCGATCTCTTGACCCGTGGAGTACTCTTGAGTCTCTCTGGATGGATGGATGGGTATGGGGAGAGCAGGATCTTACTACCCCGGGGCTGAGCGCCTCATCTCTCCGGTACTACATCTACTAGTGCTCTGCACCCTCTCCTCTCTCACTCGCATAGGTAAACATGCTCTTTCCACTTCCATGCATGATTCGTTGGACGTTAAGTAGAATTTAGGCAATATTAAAACACCTTTTTAAAGTAGCTTTTGTGTTAGGAGCTGTTTAATTGTCGCTTGTATAAATATAAAATAGGATTTACGTGCTAAATTATGTCAGTGCTGGTTAATATTCAGGTATGTCCTTACAGAAAAAAAAGTGAATTATAGTTGTTTATGTGACGGTTTTACAGTCTGAGGCAGTGTCCTTCATCCATCCGTGTCTTCTTCTTACACTTATTGTAGGCTATCTTTATTCCTAATAAATGTAGTGCATTGATTTACGCGTCCCTTTGCGCTTCACTGGATTGGTTGCTTTTTATAGGATATTAAATATTTATGAGTGATCGTAATATTAATTAATTTCTCGTTATATGCACGAGTTATTGTTTGATTCGGTTTTATTTGTTGTTTGCTTTTGTCATTGTGATAGCAGGCAGCATGTTGTCAGTTACAATAATGTATAAGTCTTGGTGATCATGTTTGTTCGCATACATCTAGCTTTTGATCTGTATGTTTATTTATTTATTTAGTTTTTTTTTTTTGCAGTATAGCCTATTGAATTATTATATTTTTTGAATAATCCATGTACTGCTCAGTTAGTGTAATCAGCATTTATTTGTTTATTTATTTACGTACTTACTTAAAAGCCTAAATTCAGTTAGTTTGGTGCCTTTGACCACTTTGGACAAGTCTTTAAATTATTTCGTTCACAATTGGTTGGCTTCTAGGCTGGAGACTGTGAAGACTACACATTTGGTGCCCTGTTTTTCCTTGGCACCTTGTCAAGTGCTCCACTTTGGGTGTCCTGGCCGTAGCCTGTGTTAATGCCATTGTGAATTAAGAGGATATGGAATGCTGCTGGGTGTCCATTGAGCAGTCACACCTTCATAATTAATTTAACATGGACCCCGGCCGGGCAGACAGGCATTATGCACTTCACTATTCTTCAATGAAGCAAAAAAATATAAAATAACTCAACCTAAATATGTGTTAAACATAATTTAAGGGCAAATTCTGAATGAACACATTTTATTGAATATGAAATAGCCTTAGTGTGACACATCACATTCCAAGTGTCATTGTTCCTTTTGTGCTTTTAAATTTATAACACTTGGTAGGCTTCAGTTTTCTACAACTCTACGTGTTTGTTTCCCTTAGCTGCCATATAATAAAGATATAATGTAATATAAAAAATATATATTTTTCGAACAGCAGTCTATATTCAGTAATATTTCATTTGGCAAGAAAATCATTTAAGAATACAAAACTGAGTAATTTGTTTTAAAAACAAATGCATGCTTGTTGTTCTTTGATTTCATTTTTTGATATTAGATCTATATAGCTGTATCGTATCTCAATTGGTTTAGTCCCAAATATATCTACCCCTTGGTGGTATTTGATTGGATTATAATCTTGGCAGAAGCTAGAGACAGTTGAAGCTGTTCGGTTTCTTTATTTTTTCTTTATTTTTTTATTTTTTTACTTTCTCTTTTCTCAGGTCTGGAATAGTGCTTTATTGTTATAGGGCTTGCAAGATTGTACAGGCTACCTGTAAAAAGGTGCCTTTTAAACTAGTTTAATAGATGCTGTTTGTGCTTAACTGTGACAAATCATACTACTGACCAGAACCATGATGTTCTTTATTTGTCTCTTGCTGTAATAAGGTTACGAAATGCTTGAAGTCACAAATAAAAACAAAAATGAAAGGCTGACAAACTAACATATTAAACCAGATTCCAAAGTTCAGTGCAATACAGTGTGAGCTCTGAATGGAGATGTCATTTAGACATTGGGTCTTGTAACCTGCTTTCTCCAGATCTTCACGTTGACTCCTGGAGAAGGGGTGGGCCTGTTGACCTCTCTGCCCTGGCCAAATTCCACATCTTGAAATTTCACTCCGCACACACTCTTTGGGCCCCTCTACAGCTGAGAATGGCTGCTCAAACGGCCGGCCACCCTGAGAAAATATTTCCAACGACTTAATAGCAACAAGGGTGTGCACTGTGCTCGAAATGAGACGGATCACCCCGACTGCAGGATCGCAGAAATGAGCTGAGCCTGTGAAACAAACATCGTGTTTTCCCTGTCCTGTGTTTTACTGTTCACTTGGTTTTATGATCTTGACAGGAATAATATGCAATCTAATAGCTGTTTAATCATTTAAATAATTGAATTCACTCTCATTTTAATATTAAAGACATATTATGAATAAAAAAAGTATTGTGGATATTTTAAACATGAATGTTTTTCCCTTTAAAATGGAGTCAAATGATTATTACTGTCAGTTACTGCCCCTGTGCATTTGTTTATTCTACCACATTAGCTAAAGACCTGGTTAAGTGAGACGTTTCAGGGTTTAGGTTTAACATTTGTCAGGACACTGAGACATTCTAACACTAAGTGTGATAGTCTGATTTCCCCCCACTAGTCTGCCAGTACTAGCTTAGGATCTGCTGCCCCCAACTGGGTGTCCCCTAAGAAATTCATCGGAAGTGTTTTGCACAGAGAGTCAGAAGGATTCGAAGTTGTAAATAAAGTAGTTCTTACAAAAAAATACTATTTCAGTCTTTCTGCTTCAAATTTCATGTCTAATAAAATCTGTTTCTTGCCATTTCTTTGTAATTAATTGTGAAATTTACTAGCGATTTCGGAGTTAAAATAGTTTTTTTTCTTAATATGCACTTTTTCAAGATATGGCTGTGAATTCAGTTGCACTGGGTCACTTAGACCAGGTTTTAAGGGGATTGTCTGGTGACGAAATTGCATTTCAACAAGCAACCAGCAAAAACAACTAATCTCCAGGATTGCTGTGAGTTGGATTGTGGTAGGGTGGTAGTTTTGTCACTTTAGTTCATGAATAAAAGTCTAGTCTACAATAAGATTACACCATATCATAGATTAGCCCCCCCCCCTAACACCTCACACCATGCTGCTGAGACAAACAATGGAGGCACATGCGTTTGATGGGCGGCGAGGTCACATATGGCCAGTGGGACTCCATGAAAAGCCTCTCTGTTTCTCTGTGATATGTAGGACATACCTACCTAATACGGTTACATTTGCAGCATAGCCTTTGTCGTTTTGCCCACTTACCCGGGTCACAATTCTTTATTTTTCGAGCAAACTGCTGTTTGTTCATTCATCGATATTACTTGCTTCGCATCTGCTTTGAGCATCCGCTCGGACTATAAATGGGAATGTGCCGGAGATGGCTTTGTCTTGCATGCCTTGCCAAGTATTTGAGTTTTTTTTTTTTTTTTTTTTTTTCTGGTACAGATGTCACTGGAGCCTTGCCTGATAAAACACAGCGGGAGGTGGATGGGAGCGGGGACTGCCTCTTTCCTCTCCCTTTCCAGCCAGTGTCTTTCTAGCACAACATCAACATGGCTTCGGCCAGGCTACTGTATTGTCTTACAGCATGTTTCTGAAACACAATCCAGCCTGTGCTTTGTCATGCCTCCTTCTCCTCCAGCTCAAACCCGGATCGGCCGATCCGCTACAAGCACTCTGCGCAGCAGCGCGTCATCCGATAATCAAATCAGATGCATTTGAATCCACTACGGTGGGAGTTATTGGCGTGGCAGGCAGAAATGGGTGGCCCTGACTGTGTAAGATAGAGTCATCACTAGCGTGTTAATGGAGAGGCTGCAGCTGATATCAGATTAGGACGGCCTCTCTCTGAGCTAATGCAATTGGGCCGCACTCAAAAGTGAGGCATTAAGACTCTAAGTGATGCAGTGTGGAGGCTGTCGTCCTTTTCTGGGAGATGTTTTTTTGCTTGTGCCATGTCATTGGTGGCTAATTTGAGGCGGCGCATGACATGATGGGTGTATTTTCGACAACAAGTGTGTATACAAAAGGACTGGGTTGATAATATTGATTTCTCGATTTGAATCAATTCTCATTTTGATGAACCAATGTGGATATACTTAAATCCCAAGAATCCATCTTTTAGTCTGTGCTGCTTTCAGTTGATTGGTGAACATTACCTCACTAAACGTCATTTAACGTGCTTCCCATCTTAATTAACAAAATTCAATCAGTGAATGTCGTTTTATTGTAGTGTGAAAGATCGCTGTAGTACATCAGTATATGAACCAATCACCTCTTTACTACTAGTTAAAGCATGAAATAAACAAGAATGAACATCAGATGGTATGTTGGATGATACAGTACATCTTGTTGAAATGTATCACGTCTCAGATATCAATAAAACAGCTTGTAAATAATGGCATGCATGTCACATTTACCTCAGAAAATCCTTTCAATGATCATAATGATAGAAAAATAACTCTAGAGAGGACTATTTTGCTAAATATATGCACCATATTACATATTTTTACTTAAGCTGTCCTTCAATATTTAATGTATTGGAATAAATTCATCATGACATTTTTTTTATGACAGCCAACATTTAAAAGTTTATATTTCAAAGAAAGAATTGGAATAGAAACAAAATCTTATCATTAAAAAAATATTATATTTTTTTATATAATAATAATAATAATGTATATTATTAATATTATTATAAAAACTGCCTTGCAAGTTTTTGTGCAATTTAAAGGTTTGTACACAAATGAGTTGTTAATTTTAACCAGCTAGGGATGCACGATATATCGTCCACGATATTGGTATCAGCCGATATATGTTAATTTTTAATGTTATCGGTTTCAGCCTGATAAGAAAATTTGGCCGATATAAAAAAGCCGATAAATAATGTATTATTTTCTTCAGCTGAGACACTTCAGATGCGCACTGTTCGCCATAATGGTTTTTGAATTGCTTGAAATATGATTGGAATCACTTAGAAAAAGTAAAACAAAAAACAGTTAAGTGCAAGTGCAGCACAAATCTGCCATATAGGCAACATAAAATTATAATGAAAAAAAACACTACTGTAAAAGAATGTTGTGTATTCTATTCTTTGTACACCCGTGTTTTAGTGCGTTGTTATGGGATAATCAGTTACAACTCATACTGGACGCGTTTGGTTAAGTTCATTAAAGCGGTTGTAAAGCGCTTCAGTTTACCGGTGATCATCTTTAGCTTCAGCGCACGACGCTGAAACAGCAATGCACAAAATTAATAACTATGTTTGGGACTGTCATATTATAACATTTAAAGAGAACACTGTTGTAATAAAACGTTGTGAATTAGTTGCCGTGTTTCTGTGCGTTGTTACGGGGCAGAGCGCGTCCACAACAGGATTACACATTCTGACTGGCATGTAACTTAAGAATTATCGGTTATCGGTAAATGTTCATATCGGTGCATCGCTAGTAACTGACAGGGTTTCCTGTATAGTTCACAACATTAGTTGAGAGAGATATGTTCCCTTGAGAAAAATGTACTGTACTTGATATATATCCAAATGAATCAAATCGAATTGAAGTGAGATTGGAATTGATTCGAATCGCAAGCTTGTGAATAGAAATCGAATCAAAACCATAAAAGTGTTATTGAATCGACATCAAGTGAATACACTTTTAATTGTTACTCTTTGACCATCCTAATGACACTTTTAGGAGGTAAACAGTTGCATTTAGTTTGCATGCCATGACTCTTTTGTGCTTACAAGCACATTTGCTGCTTTTGTGTGTATAACAGCGGGGCCAGAAAGTGTTTTTCTCATTTGAAGTGCCGTTTTATTTGATTTTATTGCGGTCATAAGCATTCTCCTTTGTAGATAACAGGAGGTTTCACACACTTGTTGAGCCGACTCTTAATGTTTCTAGACCATAATGTAAAACACACATGGAGTCACGTCGTGAGGAAAAGCACAGTCCACTAGCACACCTTATTATGGTTAAGCAGTTTATACTGGTTTATGACACGAGCCACAACAATGGCTGTTAGAAGATTCTAGCTTGTAATTGTACTCCTTTGTTCGTGTGTTTAATTGGTTAAGTCAGTATATTCTTTTAAATGTCTAGTTTACAACACATGTGCCAAGTTCTTAGAAATGTACTCTTTGAATTCATGTTGGTTTTGAAACCATTTTAAAGACACATTTCAGTTTAATGACTTAAATTGGTGAATGACAGTTTAAAAATGTCATGTAGCGTAACCATTCAAGTACAAAGTGATAACATACAACGTTTTCCTTACAATGCGTGGATACATATGATATGAGTGAACTGAAAAAAGATTGCTGTATTTTTACTTAGAGATTGCTAGTAAATTTGACAAACAATAACTCAGAAATGGCAAGTAACGCATTGAATTAAATGTGACATTTTTGAAGTAGAAAAATAGTGTTTTCTTGTAAGACATACTCCAATTATCCTTGTTTTATTCTAAACTTTTAAAAAATATATTTTTTACAGTGTGTACACATCTTTATCATTCTCTTCAAAAGGATTTTTAATTTTTTTAAGGCAAAGATTATGTTTTTACGAACATCAGGAAATCATGAAAATAAATTAAAATATCATAAAAATGCTTTTTAATGACAACTAACCTTGCATGTCTTTTAAAAGGTCACATTATTAAAGCAATAATAAACACTGCTTCAAGGGGCTTATTGCTTTTATAAAATGGCTACTCCATAAAAATATTCATTTTAATATTTATTTTATTCATAAAATAAACACCAGCTACAAAAAAATATAACTTTATAACCACTGATCTATATAATGACCTATATAATCATTATATAGATCAGTGGTTATAACACATTTATTCCTCCGCCAAGCAATGTAGTTCCAAAGAGGTTGCCAAGCAACACATGCAGCAACAAAGAATCACAAACTTGCGCAGTAATACTAATGTATTCGGTCACAGGTGTATGTTTGTTGAGTAATTTACAACGGCTTCGAACGCGGCTCAACCAATCAGAATCAAGGACCGGAACTATCCGTTTTATAATTGATATTTTAAAAGACTTGATGACTGACAGTCATGAGCATCTGCAGGCATCTTTATTTGATATAATTTGTTTTTTTTTTGTGCATTGTGTAAAAGTTACACCACATGACTTTGATAAGCATTTTTTTTTTAAATATTAATAATATTATGAAAAATGTCTCACTGTTGTTGTTTTTTTAAATAAATAATCATAAAATAGCATGGTGATCTTCGTTATGGAATCAGGATATGCTGTATTACGCTGACATTTAAAAATATTAAATTAAATTAAAATCACAAATTTAAAAACATGCTCATCATTGAAGAGGTGTATTGAATTTGCTAATTATATGTACAAGTTTCATTTTCGAATAAATTCATATTTATTCAAATTAGTTTTTTGAAATGAAGATTGTTAAAAAACGATGTCTGTCTCCTTTTTTTTTTTTTCAGGTGAGAGCCAGGTCCAAACTCCACAGTGCCGCATCCAAAAGTGCACCAGTGACTTCGTCTCTCTCACTTCGCATCTGAACCCTTCCCTGGATGGCTTTGATACTGAGTTCTGTAAGGCGCTGCGGGCGTACTCCGCCTGCACCCAGCGGACCGCCAAGAGCTGCAGGGGCAACCTGGTCTTCCACTCTGCCATGCTGGGCATCAGTGACCTCATGAGCCAGAGGAACTGCTCCAAGGATGGGCCCACATCGTCTACCCATCCCGTCATCCCCATTGAGCCGTGCAACTATCACAGCCGCCATCACCAAGCATTGCGGCCTGGGACAGGGACAGGGGCTCCAGAGCTCCCAAGAGCGACCTATCTGTTCTGTGGCCTGTTTGGGGACCCTCATCTTAGGACTTTCAAAGACCATTTTCAGACATGTAAGGTTGAAGGGGCATGGCCCCTCATTGATAACAATTACCTGTCAGTGCAGGTCACAAATGTTCCAGTGGTATATGGATCCAGTGCCACAGCAACCAATAAGGTGAGTTGTTTTTATATTTATTTTATAATTATTTTGTATTTTTTTTATGAGGAGAACTAAAATAGCATTTAACAATAAACAGCATTTAAAAAAAAAAAAACATAATTATGAATCTAGGTTCATATTAATTGAAATATATATTTTTGCTCATTGTTAATTCATGTTTTTTCAAAATATGATCATTTATACAAATGTTAAAAATATATTTACAATTTAACATTAAACCAGATAAATAAATCCTGAACATGTTTTGTTCTTAGTTATTTCAGAGCTTAAAACTTTTAGATGAATTTGATCATATGAAACTGTAAGGAGTTTTTCTTATTTATTTCAAAGAAAAAAATTAAATGTTTACTGTTATACAATGTTGCATGATACAATTTAAATATCAATCCACATTTGGTTGAGCAGGCATTCAGTTAGTTTGTTTTGTTTCATTAATAAGTTTTGCTTTTGTTTTACCTTAATAAATCACAAGATTCTGCATAGTTATATCTTTGTTTGAAGTGCGATGTCTCTATATACATGGCTATATGGATAAGATTATCAGAAAGAGCTGCAGACAGCAGATAAGACCAAATAACTTTCAACTTTGACCAAGTATTCACAGGTGCAAGTTAAACAAAGCAAACAGCTCTAGTCTTATGACTAACACTTGTGACCAACATGTCTGTGAAATTCTAATATCATTAATGTCTGGATGTAGCCTGCGCTGTGGCGTGACCCATAATACGGTGACTTTGAAAGAAGCCTCTGTCTTCAGTTTTTTCAAGTCTGGGGGTTATAGTCAAACACTCAAACACACCCGCTTACACACACACACACACACAGACCCATTTCAAATGTGCTGATGCAGAATATTGACTGCTTGCAGCATGTTTACAGATTTTTGTAATGTGAAACATCTGGAGGCTTGAGAATATTACAGCCTGGACAGATTCGTCAGATACTCATCAATTTCGTCCTCAAGTTAAAACAGTCCAGCTCATCGTTGCACAGATGTGGCTTCAAATGCTAAGTTTGTCCGCCCATGCTAATTACCTCTCGTTTGACCCCTTGACCTTGAAGGTGGGGAGCCATTATTTAACATTTGCAAGTAATTATTAGCATACACCGCTTAACTGAGGCCTTTTCAGCTGCCTCACCTTATGGCCAACTGGTCATCATTTTTCATCCTTGTCCTGTATACAAAGCTGCTATTCATCCACCGCTAATGTAACGCCACACTTCTTGTTAGCCAGTGCTTTTGCTTCCCACAAATCTTAGAGTTTCACAGTCTGAGGACTGTATACTGGGTGCATTTTATGGTTAACACTAGCAGGGCGAAAAGGGTTTGCGGATCTGTAAATACGTGTAATATTCTAAAGAACTGCACAAATCCAAATGTTCTTGTTTTACTGTGATAAAGTAATTCTCATTTTCAGTGTTGGGCATAAAACCACTTTTGTTCTTTAAATGTGGATTTGTGTTATTATTTTTCAGCAGTCGTAAACATTCTCATATCCCAGTTTAACATGCAAAGACTGTAAATAGGCCATTTGTTGATTGCTCCAAAAACTAATACTGTGGTGTTATCAAAACACTGCTCTGTTTGTTTATGCATCCTGACTGGACCAACCGAGCAACTGACTCAATAAATGACGAGACTATCTATTTGTCCAACCAATGGCAGATATGGGGAATGTTCAGGAATTCCTGTTTGTTTTTATTGTGGTAGAGATTTATTTAATGTATTTTTTTGTGAAGTATTATTCAACGTACAGCATTAAGTAATTAACAAATAACAGCCATTCAATAACAATTAGCTTTGGCAACAAAAAAAATAAATGGCGATGGATAAAAATTAAACGGTTCCTTCAGGAAACAACAGACGGTCACAAGGGCTAAAAAGAGAACAGTAAATATGGACAATAAATACAGACAATAGTACCACAAGATACACAGAGTAAAAACCGAATTGACAGTTAAATAAGGTGTAGCATCAGATTGAACTGTAAGTTCTAATACTTTGCATGTTGTTGTTATTATTATTAATGAAGGTAAAAATAATAATGCAATTTTTGTTTTTTGTTTTCTAATGATCATTTATTTATTAATGTGTCAAAAAGCAGAAATAAAACAATAGTTCAATTATTGATATTGGTCATAAAGCAGTATTGGTTCATCTCAACTAGTGATGCAGAATATACGCACTTCACTGTTACTATATGCATTATTCACCATTAATTGTGATACAATGGAAGTTGTGCTATATCTTTTATACTTTATTGTGAGTGAAACAGATTATTTTTAAAAAGGGAGGGTGCGGACTTGGTTTTGAGACAAGTGCTTTGCACAAACAAAAAAAGCACTCTTATAGCTGATTGTGGAGGGGTGGGATTTAAGAGCACTAAATGATTAGAGAAGTCCAGCATTTACAAGTATGTTGTGTCACTGGAAGATAGGACATTTTTATTGAGGTAAAAAAAGAAAAAAAAAGAAACTAGTCCTGCCAAATCGATTAATCGCATCTAATATTGTGTTTATATAATAAATGTGTTTGTATATATATAATGTGTGTGTGTGTGTGTGTGTATATATATTAGTGCTGCCACTAACGACTAATTTTCTAACGACTAATCTTTCGACTAATTTTTCGATTAGTCGACTAATCTAAACGACTAATTAAAAAAAAAAATCAAGTGTTTATTTCGTTGTGTCCATTTTATTTTGAACTCAACTGAAGGGCCAAAACATAAAATGTCACCTGTTCAAAAACATTATGTATTAACAATCTAAGCATAAGTATCTGCATTTCCATTAGGCTATACCATATTAGTCAGAGTCCTAATCTAAATCCTCTAATAACAAACATGTATGTATTACTTAAATTAGCTCTTTGTTCTGCCTTAAAAAATGTACAGTAAGCTAATAATGATTAATTTATGTACATTTCTGAAAAGCATAACTGATAACATCACTCTGAATAGTAAAGTAGATGCAATGCATTTTCTGTGAAAAGCCGAGCGCTATACAAATAAATTGGAATTGAATTGAAAGAGTCTGGACTAGCCCACTATGAGTCGCGCTGAAAGCAGGCAGGCACGCAGTTATGTAGCTCGCGTTTACACTTGCGTGCATGGCGGGCCCGTGCCGCGGTTCGCGTGAATGTGAAAGCAACACGGACTCGGGAGCGCTTGTTCAGGAAGTTAAGTAACCTGCCCATGCGTTTTAGCTGATTACGATGCATTTAGTTAAATAAAACACATGTAAGGGATGATAGTGTTGATAATTTACCTTGGATACGCGAGAGTTGAGTCTGCAGTGTATTCGCGCATTGCGCGTGCAATCAGGGCAACACATTTGGAAATCCACTGTCTCCTCAAAAGAGTCCGTTTGAAAAACACAATATATTGACCCGCGTTCTGTTTTCTATCATGCGCCGTGCACGTTTGCGATGGCATAAGATGCACGCAAACTCAACAGGGTTCGATAGAATTGAGTGTGAAACCAGACCAACGCTGCGGGGGGCGCCGGAAACAATCGTGCTCGCGCTCGGACTCGGACCGCAGCAAACGAGCCCAGTGTGAAAGCACCGTCACCTGCCTCCGCAATTTTTCATATCAAAGCAGTGAAGGCGGACGGGAACGTGAAGGAAAATGATAGCAGATAAACCAGCAGGGCGCGCACGGCGCACAGACTGGTGTGTGGAGGTGAATTACAGTGAGCCGTTTGTGACGGGAGACCAAAAATAAATAGCGGTCAATAGTAAAACGACACGTCGACTAAAAAAATTGCCGTCGACTAATTTGCATGGTCGATTACGTCGACTAAGTCGACTAATCGCGGCAGCACTAATATATATATATATATATATATATATATAGAGAGAGAGAGAGAGAGAGAGAGAGAGAGAGAGAGAGAGAGAGAGAGAGAGAGAGAGAGAGAGAGAGAGAGAGAGAGAGAGAGAGAACTTTTTTGTTATTAAAAAAACAAGCCACACCCAGGTGAGAAAAAGTAACGCAAAAGTAACATAACGCATTACTTTTCTTAAAAAGTAACTAAGTAACGCAGTTAGTTACTTTTTAAGGAAGTAACGCAATATTCCCAAAACATTGTATATATATGTATATATACACATATAAATATAAACAAACTTTTATGTTAGAATCGCGATTAATCGATTTGACAGCAGCACTACAAGAAACATGAATGGGTGAATTGTTCACAATAAAATCCATATTGCATTTAGAAAAATAGAAATGGGGTGAATTTTCATTTCATGCTGACCTTAAAGTTTTCTTTTTGATGACTGAGTTGAGTTCATGATTGAGTTCAACTATGCTCTCTGTTCTTCTTTTAAGGTCACAATAATCTTCAAACCATACCAAGAATGCACGGACCAGAAGGTCTACCAGGCCGTAACAGACGACCTTCCAGCCGCCTTTGTGGACGGCACCATCAGCGGGGGCGACAGCGAAACCCGCAGCATCTGGATCCTGGAGAAGTCGCCCGGTCGACACGTAGAAATCCACGCCGCGTACATCGGTGTCACCATCATCGTACGCCAGCAGGGCCGTTACCTGACGCTAGCCGTGCGTATGCCAGAGGAGCTTGCCATGGCCTTCGATGAAACGCAGGACCTGCAGCTTTGCATGAACGGTTGCCCCACATCAGAGCGCATCGACCAAGAGGGACATCTTCAGATGCCCATGCTGGGACTCCAGCAGGCCGGCTTTCAGCAGCAGGCCAGGGTCGAAGCCCAGAGGGGCGTCTTCACCCTCGAAAGCGCATCCAGGAAGTGCAAGGAGCAACTGGAGGTTAAGGACATCTATTTCCACTCCTGCGTGTTTGACCTGCTCACCACAGGAGATGCCAACTTCACCACTGCCGCCTACAATGCCCTAAAGGACATGGAGACTCTGCACCCCAAGAAGGAGCGCTGGCATATTTTTCCAAACTCGACCGCTGGGCTGAGGCCGTTTTCATTACTCCTCAATGCACTGCTAACCGGCTTCCTCGTCACTGTGCTTTTATAATGTGTACAGTGTTTTGATAACTGTTTCGAAGAAGAAAAAAAGATGGGAAACGAGACTGTAAAAAGTCAGTACTCTGGGTAAAGGGTGCTTTGTATATACTGTCTGTGTGGAGAATGAATGTTAGAATACGAACCTTCATTAGACTGTACATTTTGTGTAAATGATGTTTTCAAGAGAGCTGAATATTGTAGATTTTTGTGCGTGAATTTTTGGAGATTTCATGTTTTTGTCCTCAGGAGAGGAAATCTTAATGGAAGCACTTTATTTTTATTTTATTTTTTTGTTTTTGCAACTAGAAAACAGTGTTCCACGGAACAAGTGCTCAATAATCTTTCTTGGTACACTCAGCGCATTTTCTTTTAAATACATTTCTGTAGGTCTCTATATACAAATGGTACTTACCTCACCATTTTACTCTGTAGAACCGTGTTAAACAGTTTTCACGATGTGGCTGGCATAGTGATTTTCATAGACATTTAAAGAAGGATCATGTTGACTAGACATTCACTTTATCTGTATTTTTAGTTCTAGTACTCTGAACTGTTGAGTAACGTTGATCAGCAAAAACAAAGTGAAGAGTTCAGGCGAACGCAGCAGACGTAGGTTGAAGTGCACTTAATTCAGAAATGGGAGTTTGTCCGTCGTTGACCTTTGGAATTGTATTGGAAGTTCGGTCCATTTTTTTAAATGACAATCAGAATTTCTTTCGTTTGGTACAAAATCTACCTAATGTACGAACACACAACATCAATCCTGAAGAGTGCATTTTAGAGACACCAAAATATTTATGCTAAAAGTTTCATCTTCTTTCAGACTAATTTCAGAGTGAGTGGCTCTCATTGAGTGAACTGGAAAATGGATGTTGCATAAGTGCTAAAGTGGGCCATGTCTCATTCCTGGTCACTCAAACGAACTTCCAGAATGGCTCCTCTCAAGATTACATGTATTAGCTTTGTCCCTTTGCCAAACAAATATTGAGTGTTAAGTTCCCTCTAGTCCTTGTTTTATCCTTGACCAAAGATATGACTCAGAACCAACACAGATATCAGATATTTTGCCAGACATGCTGTGGGCTTCCCTATAGATTTTGTTTCGACCCAAAAATATTGGTATTGTCGTATGTTTAGCAAGATAGTGCCATAAATCAACTCCCCTGACTTGGTTTTAAAAACCTGAAGTATGTTCAATGGAATTGTGATTTGGCCTAACATGTATTTTATCTTGAGCCTTGGTTCTTTTGCTGAATGCACATCAGCAGTGATTTCATTGAGAGCTTCAAAGCAAACGAAGGAAATGCAGAAACACTTATGTCTCTATTTGCTTTGAGTGTGGTATTTGGCCTGATGCACACATAATTCATTTGATGAAATTGAATTGTATACCTTCTGGGCCTTACTGTCCAACTGCTACAGAAGCCATGCCAACACTCCAGATACGCACGTTTCCATACCAAGACTTGCTACTGTAGAGACGTCATTGTTTAACTACTGCCAGTGCTGAAGAGCTGCTACAATACTGTGACGAGTGTAATCGATTGTATTTGGAACACTGGGAGTTTCGCAGGCAGTGATTGGCCGGTTCCGAAGCACGATCATTTGATTGGCCGATTGGCCTAAATCAGTGTACAGTGGGATCTTGTTTCCCCCCATTAAAAACCAGAACAAGTCATCAGAGTGCAATTAAGTAACTGCAAAGGAAAGCCTTCATCCTGTGTTGTTTTTTTTTTTTTTTTTTGCATTTCGCATTTGATCTTGTGATCTCTTATATTTGTTGTGAACATTGTTTTTGTGAAGAGTGACTGCTCAATGTTTATACTTAAATTATTTATGAAATATAGTGTCTTGTTAGAGAAGTTAAGCTCCATACTCTTGCTGTTGAAAAACGTTTGAGATGTGATTGTACTGCCACCTAGTGGGTCACCATTGTTACATCAGTGTTTTAGTATTGTACGGAGGCTGTTTAAAAAAAGGAAGAAAAAAAAGAGGAAAAAATGTGTTATTTAAAACAATAAATACATAAATTCCACTGGCTTTAATGTTTATTTGCCCCCACAAATTTCCACTCTCTCTCTTTTTTTAACAAATTTCCATTGTGGCATTATCATTCATTGCTATGTACATTTACATTTATTAATTTGGCATATGCTCTTGTCCAAAGCGAGAACAACACAGCACTACCATACCAAAAATAGTGTAACATTATAGCAGAGATGTAAACATGCAACCAATGTAGTTAGACAAGTGTTCCTTAATATAATTGTTTCTATTTTTCTGTAATATACACTACCTTTCAAAATGTTGGGGTCAGTAAGATCAGAATAACTTATATTATATTATAATAACTATTTTATTCAACAAGGAAGGATTAAATTGTCAGTAAAGACATTTATAATTTGACAAAATATTTCAATGTCATATAAATGCAGTTCTTTTGAACTTTCTATTCATCAAAGTATCCTGAAATTGTTTTTTATCATGGTTTCCACAAAAATATTAAACAGCACAACTGTTTTCCACATTGATAATAGGGAAGACATGTTTCTTGAGCAGCAATTCAGCATATTATACTGATTTCTGAATGACCATGTGACACTGAAGACTGAAGAAAAGTTATATTTAAAAATTGAAAACTAATTTAAATTGTAATATTTCACAATATTACAGTTTTTACAGTATTTCTGGTCAAATAAATACAGATTTCTTTCAAAAACATTTAAAAAAATCTTACCAACCACAAACTTTTGAACTGTAGTGTAATTACAAACAATTGTGAAATAAATGCACACAAAAAAAACTTTAACTTGATAAAGCACTTGAGTCACATTCAAACAAACCCCCTTGATATAAACAAACTTTGTTGCAATCTTCGATAGAGTGTTAACGCACAATGATCTCATTTCATCAAAGGTTACTCATTGTCATTCAGATCAACAGTTCAACAGTGTTACGTGAGTGGAAGATGACTTTACAAAGCCATGGCCTACAAAAACAGCCTTGTAGTGCAGCTCATTTGTTGTATTGTCTATATGATGTGGTTTTGAGCAGCTATCACACTGATCTGCCCATATCGAAGCACCTGTGTCTTGCGGCGTGATGTTGGTCTGCAGCTCATCGAGACGCTCATCAACATTCCAGGTTCTCATTTACAACAGCCGGAGTTCCTTCAGCAGCGCGTCCAATTAACTCTGACAACCGTGACAGTTGAGTTTGAAAAGTCTGCAGATTTTGCAGAAGAGAAATATGACAGGTTTCATTTTAATTGTGAAAAATGTAATTGTTGCCACTGTTCAGACATTGCATAATATAAGCAGTAATATGCGCTCACCACTTTATGACGGCTTGCGCTGTCATCAATATGTTGAAAACGGTGATTTTCAGGAGGAGAATTCTGAGAGCTTGAATAAATATTAGATCTTTCTTTGTTCTCACTTCTGCAAATAGGGGAAATGAGTAAGGGACAGACACTAAATTGAATTCTTAGGATTAACAAATTGCCTCTTACTGTACCTTCCGATAAACTGCTTTGATGGTCCAAACAAATATCAGACGTTTCTTCATCATCAGCCCTTTCTGAAATGCATTTTACAATATAACACGTTACAATAAGGTCCCTTTAGTTAATGCATTACCTAACATTGACTAACAATGAGCAATGTGTTTGTATTAACTAACAACGAGCGATAAATGTTGAAAAAATTTAATTTAACTAAAATACTTCATAAGTATTTTCATTGATAGTTCATGTTGACTATACAGTAATGATCAATAAGTTATGGCAACATGTTTTTACATTGCTTAAATTTTATGTTATACAAGATTCAACACATTTTTTTAAAGTCAGTTTAATGTAATTTAAGTTAAAATGACTTAACGTAAGTTTATTGTACTTAAAAAATTTAATGCAGCAACTTTTTTACATAATGCAAGGATCGTGATATAATTACAGAATTTACCAGACGTCTCCTTTGGGAATCCAGCATAGTGTATGTGCATTAGTTGATCGGAGCCTCTGTGACTCACAAAGCAAGTGTAGGACGTCCATTCACTCGATGCCACAGAGATAAAAGACATTGCGCTCTGAATGCCATTGTGTCCTTGGAGTAAGTTAGAGCCTGCTGGATTAGTTCCTCTGGTGCCACTAGAAATCCAGGCCACCTCCATCTCTCCTTGATGAACGTCATGAACCACACACACCAGGATGGTCAAGCCGCTGTGATCAGTGTTCAGATGAAATGGTGGAGATAAAATGGCATAAGGGACAGCATCTGATCCCACTTTAGAGACAAGAACAGTATTCATAGAAGTTAGAAACATTAGTATTAGTATGCATAGATAGTTACTACACCTTTTTTGAAAGATATATAGGCTACTTTTATTCAGTAAGGATGCATATATTGATCATAATTATTTCAAATAAACGCTGTTCTATTGAATTTTCTATTCTTCAAAGAATCCTGGAATAAAAAGTCAAGGTTTCAACAGAAATATTAAGGAGCACAACTGCTTTTTAACATTGATAATAATAAGAGCAGCAAATCAGCATATTGATTTTTGAAGGATCATGTGACACTGGAGTAATGACGCTACAAATTTAGCTTTGCTATCACATGAATACATTATATTTTAAAATAAATACAAATAGAACACAATTATCTTAAATTGTAATAATATTTCACAATATTTCTGTTTTTACTGTATTTAAAAAATAAAATAAAATGTATGATTAGTTTATTTCAAAAACCTTAAATAGCCTAGTTGTTGCATTAATACGGTATTTAAATTATATTATCTAATGAAGTGCCTTACTTGAGCTTTGTAATTGCTAAAAATGTTAGTAATTGTGCTAGCATTCCAATAAACTCTACAACTTACTTGTAAAAAGCATGGTGGTGAGGAGGGTGGGAAGCATGATGGTGTTGTTTAGCTCTATGAGTTCAGCCAGGCGGTGAAAAGGATTATCAAGTTTCAGTCATGTGATTTCACACCCGCCATGGAATCTTTCCATCGGTGTGTTGTTGCTGTGCCAAAATACTGTAGGCTGTGCTAAAATGAGAACACAAAGGCCTGTGCTGCAAAACACGCTGATACACTTAGTTTGGCATCAGGTTTCATTCATGGGGTAGAATAACTCGCTTGCAATACAACATTCAAAAAGAGTTCAATTTGCGCATTCACCTCACTCCGAGTTCATGATCATTTGATTTTCGGAATTTGTTGGACAAAAATATGTAGGCTACTTTAATATAATGAAATAGACATACACAAAGTTCTTCTGGTGTGATATGTTGTATTTCTTGTGAGAATGTGATGTAGAGTGTTTCCAAAGATTCACACCTGTTTTATGTTGGTTACTTGTTCTGTGGTGAGAGAGAGATAATATCAACACCAACGGCTGTACCTGCTGCTTTGTGCATCTGGATGAAATAAAACTGCACTTTCAAAGAATGTTTTGATCAGGTATATGCTAAATATGCTTGATCTCTTCTAAAAGTTTTTGGCATGAAACAAAATAGCAGCATTAATTGGCCATTTTTTGCAGATTCAAGTCTTAAGTATAGAAAAGCTTGAATCAAGTCCTCGAATGAGACCTTAGGGCCTCAACTTATGTAAATAAATATCTCTTTTTTGTTTTATTAAGTATACCAAAAACAATTATGCAATATTACACCGTCTTTTAGATTTTTTATTATTCATATATTTATTATTGTGAATATAATATATTTGGTCTAATAATTTCTAGTTTGATTTCAATATCAAAGCTGGCTAAGATTTATTTTCCACACACATTTATTACTTCATTAATCACTGAACATATGAAAGACCAAAAAGAGCAGAAATGTCCAAGTCATCATCTCTGATTTGAGTAGGCTACAAGTATTGGTAATACTTGTTGGTGATAATAATAGTAATAATGGTAGCACTTTACAATAAGGTCTAATTTGTTAACAGTAGTCCATGCTTTAACTAAAATTAACTAACAATGAGCAATAAAACTTTACAGCATGTTAGTTAATAACAAATTTCTAGTTCAATGCGCATTATCTAATGTTAAAGGATACAACTTTTGATCTTAATAATGTATTAATAAATGTTGAGATTAACATAAATAACTGTTAACAAATGAAAACTTATTTACAGTGTTACCATAATGATCATAATTATAATGCTCCCTTGAGGAACACACACAGGACTTCTTGGTTTTGTCCACTATGACGACGTGTGTGTGTGTGTGTGTGTGTGTGTGTGTGTGTGTGTGTGTGTGTGTGTGTGTGTGTGTGTGTGTGTGTGTGTGTGTGTGTGTGTGTGTGTGTGTGTGTGTGTGTGTGTGTGTGTGTGTGTGTGTGTGTGTGTGTGTGTGTGTGTGTGTGTGTGTGTGTGTGTGTGTGTGTGTGTTTTTCTGGGCAGGTCTCAATATGGAGACAGTCCTCGAGGGCTGCTTAGTGATTTGTTGACTCAATGATTGCTGCATCCGCAGCCCCTCTCCCAGCGAAAGTTAGGCCAGAGCCCATTGCAGACAAGGAGCCCGAGCCCACCACAATCCCAGCCCCAGAGCTGATGCCTGAGCCAAACATCTTCCCGGAGCCTGAGCCCAGTGAAAAATCTGACCGTGAGCTGGCAAAATCGTGGCACTTGAGAGTGCAGGTGGAATATGAGGAGATGAGTGGAGTCCTGTCCCTTCTAAAAAGGCAGATGTAAAAGCACTGAACTCAGCACCCCTTATAAATTTGGAGGAGAGTGCTACTGGTTGCACTATGCCTGTTTCGTCACCCGGTACCATGCCTGTTGTGTCATGCACTGAATTATACCCTCCCACCTCCTCTCCCTGTTTCGCATCAGCTAGAGAGGCCCTTCCTGAGGTGTCTAAATGTCCCGCGTCAGCCAGAGAGGCCGTTCCAAACCTTTGTCAGCGAATCGTCCCTCTACCCCTTGCCTTTAGCTCAGTCGGCTTACCTTTCTGGCTCCACCTCAGTCCTCCGGCCCCCTGGCTTCACCTGGTCCACTCGTCCCCACGGCTCAGCCTTGGTCTCCAGGACCTTCTGTGTCGCACGGTCTCTTCAGCTCCACCTGGGTCTCCACCGCCATCAGCTCTTTCTCAGTATGTCGTCCCCCTGGTTCCGCCTGCCAAGTCTCCACCATGGCTCTTCCCTCCCTCGACTCCTACGTCCTGAGATTCCTGCTGGGGGTTCCGCCCTGGCTCCTTCTACCGTTGTCTCCTCCCTGGATTCTCCCGCGGTTGTCTCCACCCTGGCTCCTGTGGTTTTCCCGTGTTCCAGCCCTGCGTCCACCTCCTTAGCCCCCTCCCGCCCTCCCTCTGTTGGACTTTAATGTAGTAACATACATAGTTGTGTTTTTTTGAGATGGGGGAAATGTTACGGGTGATCTGGTCTTGTGTTTGCTTTGGGTGGATTTTGCACTTGTTTTGTGTCCTGTGTCTGAGTTCATTTCTATGTTTTTTCATAGCCTTGGTTTTATAATTAGTTGGTCCGTTCTCTTTTTACTATGTTGGTTGTTTTGTTCATGTTTTTGGAGATAGTTTGTTTTGTTACATTTTGAGTTTGTTAATAAATCGAATTCCTGCTGCGACTAAATCCACCCTTTTATTTTACCTGGCTGCAACCACTCACTGACACAGACATGAACTGGCTGTTTGTATGTGTTGATGGCTCTAGGTCATTCCTCTGCTCGGTGGCTCGAGCCCCGCTGTGTTGTCATTTGAATACAGATACACAGCCAGACAGCACATACTCAGCAGCTGCTGCAAACCAGGAAATTGTGGGCAGGACAAATGAAAGAGAAAATGAAAGCAGCCGACACAATGATACAGCTGAAATTCAGGTAAAGACACAAAACTGAACGGTTAAAATGAGTGTGTTCTTCAACAATGCTGTTAGTAGATGCTTGTCCTACTTTACAGAGACCGCATTATAATGTTACAAATGCATTCCAGGATAGAGCTAGAGATCGTGTGCTGTATAACAGCAGATGTCAATGTATTAACATGAACAGGCTATCACATTACAGAGTGAGGTCAACAGAGAACGCTCAGCACTGCTCTGTTTTGCCATGCATGTTATTTTAAGAGCACTTGATTGTTGTCTTTTATTTTAATTAGCATTTTGATCATTCTCACATGTGCTAGAATGTTAGGGTTAGGGTTAGTGCTTCGCCAATCGCACACGCTCAGTGTGAAATGTGAAGAAATTATGAAATGTGCATATGGGTCATTCTCCAATAGGCAAACGAGAGGCAGAATTTGAACACAAAAAATTGGTTTAATGCTATATTCAGTCAAATGTAAGCTTATTGGTAACACCACTCTAATAAAGTGTGACATGAAATTGTCAGAAATGTGTGAAAATTAATGAGTAAGAATAAACTTTAACTCTTCAGATAAACCATCACTGATCTTTACACACAAAAAGTAGTCAAAATTGAATTCCCCCTTTTCTTAAAGAGGTGATATCCATTTTTGTAACACCATTGACTTAAAGTTGGATGACACAACTTTTTCTTAAAATATAATAAATTATGTATTTTTAAAATGTAAAATTTGAATTAATTTAAGTGTACATCTTAAAATCTATGTTCGCTATATAACCACTGTGTTAAAAATGTCCTATTGTTGCAATTGCATTACGGGATAGCTCTTTGTTTAAATAGGAATATGTAGATTGTGTTAGTTAAATATCTATTTTAAAACATAAATGTATCTTTTAACAGTGCTCAAGGCAGTTTTACCTTACAAAATACAAATATGCATACATTTCATGATCTTTTATGGTGGTATTTAAAGTTTAAAAAGAGGGACGCCATTTGTCACAGCAAATGAAGAATGACCCATACAGTGATTTATTGTTATTAAGTATAAAGACAAAGAGAACTTCAAATATTTACATATCATTTACAATTTCACCTTTCTCTCCACAGGGTACAGTGACTGCCAATATCTAACCATTCAAAAATATGAAAGTCCATCAAATTCAGTAATACCAAAACCAATAACCACAAGTTATATTTCAATATGCATCTCTTGTTTTTAATCTTGCTCTTTCTGGAGTCACACTTTTGTGTCCAGTCTTCTGAAAGCAATAGTCCTGTTGGCAATAACATGGCCACAAACGGCCTTCCTTTTCCATGGAGTAAAATGCGCCTGCCAAACTACATAGTGCCTGTACATTATCATCTGCTTATTCATCCCAATCTCACCACATTGAGGTTCAATGGTTCTGTGAAGATTGAAATTGATGTAAAAAACAACACAAACTGGGTGGTGCTACACAGCAAGAACCTGAAGATCTTCACAGCCACGGTTCTGGATGAGCATGAGGCCCATCTGTCAGACAAGGTGCTCTCTGTGCTGGAATATCCTCCACATGAACAGATCGCCATCTTCTCCCCAAAGATTCTGACCTCTGGGGAAAAATACTTCCTGTATTTGGAATTTGGTGCACCATTAAGTGATGGGTTCTATGGATTTTATAAGAGTACATATAGGACAAAAGCAGGAGAGACAAGGTACAGTTCAAATTTCTGAAATGTAAAGTAAAGTTTCATAAATCATACATAGACATATTGCAAATAATTGCTAAATAATCAAACTACTTTTTCTCCCTTAAAGGGTCCTGGCATCCACCCACTTTGAGCCCACATCTGCCCGAATGGCATTGCCATGTTTTGATGAACCCACTTTCAAAGCTAATTACACTGTCAGAATAAGGAGGGGTCCATCACATATAGCTTTGTCTAACATGCCATTAGTAAGCTCATTTCATACATATACTTTACCAATGTACTCTTTATTTTACAGTATCCCTGTTACAAATCTTACATGTACTTACTATATTAACAATAGTAAATTATGCATTGGCCTAATTGCAAGAAACTAAACCAAATCCTAAACCTAATAATGTAGTAAGTACATGTAGTTCATTAATGTTACTCAGTTCTAAATGTATAATTACACTGTAACAATTAAGGACACCTTCAAATTAACCTATTTTGAAAAATGATTTAACAAATACAACATGGCCTATCCTTTTAAAATTTTGAAAATATCCTTATCTTTACTTTACAGGAACAAACTGTGGAAATCGGCAATGGTCTGTTTGAAGACCAATTTGAAGTGAGTGTGAAGATGAGTTCATACCTGTTGGCCTTCATTGTCTGCGACTTCAAATCTGTTAGTGGGATAACGGCAACTGGAATTAATGTAAGTAACTAAAACTTAGAGAGGGTTAAACAATATGAAGTGGAAACATGTGAACACAGCAACTTTGTATGAAGTTTTTATCACAGGCTCTCAGGTGAGACAATCATAATGAATCAGCTGTTTTGTCTTCTCCCAAAGATTTCTATCTATGCAGTTCCAGAGAAATGGCATCAGACGCACTATGCTCTTGAGGCTGCTTTGAGGCTTTTGGAGTTTTATGAACAATATTTCAACATACTCTATCCCCTGCCAAAACTGGGTGAGTACATCTTGCATTTTCCTTACCTTTTACTTCTAATGTTTCAGTGCATATGTTACTGTATATGATGTGCCTTTGGATATTTACATTGTTGTTTATTTTATGATGTGTGCCAGATCTGATAGCTATTCCAGATTTCCAGTCAGGTGCTATGGAGAACTGGGGTTTGACTACTTATAGGGAGACCTCTCTTCTGTATGACCCTGACATCTCATCAGCGTCCAATAAGCTCTGGGTTACCACAGTGATAGGACATGAGATAGCCCATCAGGTTGGATATAAAATATATTCTTAACTTCATCTGTTATTATCTTTCTTGAGCTAAAACAATAAATTACAGGAGTATTACATTTAAGTCCCTTTGCGTTTTTTTTTTCTCCAGTGGTTTGGAAACCTGGTGACTATGGAGTGGTGGAATGACATATGGTTGAATGAAGGCTTTGCACGATATATGGAATTTGTCTCTGTTGGGGCAGTATATCCAGAGCTTAAAATTGTATGTCAGAGCTTTAAATATTTCTCTATGTATATAATGTAATGGATAACGTAAAGTTGGGCAATTATTATTGCAAAATAAACCACAAGAAGTAATCAAGATTGTTTCACCCTGAGGTGGCTTATTTTGCAATGATGACCCGCTAACTGTACATTATCCATATTATTACACAGCTTTATAATTTTACCTATATCATCTTGAAGCTTCTGCCAAAAAAAAAAAAACTCATTATAACCAAGCTAACAGGGAACGTTCTCAGACCTTTAGCTACAGCCCGTTCTCATCCCAAGGCGTCATCTAACTGACGCTTTTGACCATGCGTCAACATGCCGACGCACATGGTACCCCTTAAGCGTCAATATGAGACGCGCCTCCTAGTGGTCTAACCCTAACCCTACCCCAGACCTAAACCTACCCATAACGGTCATCTAACTGACGCTAAAGGGTGCCATGTGCGTCGGATTTAGACGCATGGTCAAAAGCGTCAGTTAGATGACGCCCGAGGATGAGCGTCTCATATTGACGCTTAAAGGGTACCATGTGCGTCGGCATGTTGACGCATGGTCAAAAGTGTCAGTTAGATGACGCCTTGGGATGAGAATGTGTTGTCAGTTAACGTTCTTCCAGTAACATTAGTAGAATGTTTTTTCAAAGCTGTTTGCAACGAACAAATCAAACAAAAGTAATTTAAATAGCTCAACACAAGACATGTTTCAAGTGGTTCCTGAAATTCAACTGAAAAAGCAACTTCTGCAGTCTCAAAATTATTCAACCCCCTGAATAGAATCCCTCACAACAGCACAAATCTGCAACACAGGTGTTGTCTCAAGCACACCTGATGCAACTAATCAAGGGCTTCATTAGTTTCACCAGGCTTGCTTGAGCTAGAACACATGAAATATCTGAACTGGCTGGTTTGTTGAGTGTCACGTTTGACTGCATATTACAAATATGGCTAAGTCAAAAGAATGGTCCAAAAATTTTGAGAAGATGTCATCGCCCAGGGGCGTCGCTAGGCCCTTTTTAGGGGGGCCTAAACTTCTGCCTAGCCCCCCTAAAAATGTGGGATTAATGTAGGCTACACAAATTCGTGTTCGCTTCAGTCTTGTTATAATCAGATTCTGCGCGTTCTTCATCTTCAATCAGCAGCGGCGCTGAGCAGAGAGCACGTCAGAAACAGAGGACAGGGTGTGTGTGTGTGTGTGTGTGTGTGTGTGTGTGTGTGTGTGTGTGTGTGTGTGTGTGTGTGTGTGTGTGTGTGTGTGTGTGTGTGTGTGTGTGTGTGTTCATGTGTGTGTTCATCTGAGCCTCATTGGTCTGTCACTGCTCGTCAATGTCAGAATATTTGAGATGACCAATCAAATCAAAGTAGGCAGGCTTTATGTTCACAGACGCTGCTGAGCGCGAATTTTAACAGTGCGACTCGACGCGTACGGTCAAGTGCGAGATAAGATGTAAGTAGCTAAACTTAACATTTCATATTTTACTTTTTTTAGGTCATAATTGTTAAACGAATGACAAAAAATAATCAGGCAAACTAATATAGTTTTGTCTAATTTCGCCATTTTGAACTGAAAATAGGCCTATGTAACGTGACTCATGTAATGTAATAATTAGTTTACAAGAAACATTAACAAAGCCGTTTTCATCATGTTAGGCACAAGATTAATAATGAATGTGTGCATATTGAGAATATAATACAAATTGTAGCCTTTAGTAAATTAAAAAAGCCCAGCTTTAGGAGGGGAAGAGAAAGGGATGAAGAGACTGAGAAAAAAAGAAAGAGTGATGGAGATGAGAAGAGAGCAGGTTTTGACAAATAATCTGCCCACTGACATGGTTTTAAAGCTATTTCTTATCCTTTTTTTGGTCTTCAAACGTCTTGAAATGCACATATCAGAGAAATAAAAAATTTGAACCCCCTACCAACCTCAAATGTAGGACCTCTGTGATTATAAAGCCCTGTCTACGGCCCTGTATTAGGCATAAGATCAATAATAAATGTGTAGCCTACATATTGTGAATGCATTTAATAAACTTAATTACCTTTAGTAGCTTTCAGTAAATAAACGTGTCTGAGAAAATGATTCATAGGCAAAATCAACCTATCAGTTGACTTGACCCTATGTTTACTTTCTTCACTGACAGACAAAAATGAAAAGCCTATATCAGTCAAAGCTCAGCTTTAGGAGGGGAAGAGACAGGGCAAGATAAAAACAAAGAGAAAAAGAGTGTGATGCTGATGAGGAGAGAAAAATAATCAGCTGCCCACTATCCAAGTTTTTTGGCCTTCAGAACATCTTAAAATGCACATATGTAGATCAGAGAAATCAAAATTTTCTCGGGGAGACCCCGGACCCCCCTATTTGCCCTACCTCACATTTGGGACCACAGTTATTATAAAACCGTGCCTTTACATTGTAATGAAAAGGGTTAATAGTGATCTTTAGATCCTAAACTAAAGTGTTACCTTTTTATATATTTAAAAAAAAAATCATATTGGGGGCTTAGCCCCCCTAAAATGAAAATCCTAGTGACGCCCCCCTGTCATCGCCCTTCACAAACAAGGAACAGGATACAAAAAGATAGCGAAGGCACTAAATGTTCGTTGGAAGCATAGTTCGCAAGTTCAAAAGTTAAAGGACCAGTCGTTACACTACCTGGACAGGACAGAAAAAGGAAGCTATCAACGGCTGCAACCAGATTTCTGAGAAGGCAGATTCAGAAAAACCCTCGAGTGTAAAAGACCAACATCAAGACTTGATGGCAACAGGCACTGAGGTTTCAGCTTGCACAGTATTGCATACTAAACGCATGCGGTTTCCAAACCAGAACTCCAAGACATACACCACTACTAACCCAAAAGCGCAAGAAAAGTTGGCTCCAATTTGCTCAAAATCATATAAATAAGCCACAGAAGTTTTGGGATTCTGTTCTCTGGGGTGATGAAACTTTTTGGCCCTATGGATCAGCGGTATGTCTGGAGGAAGAAGAATGAAGCATATGCTGAAAAGACAGTTGAGCATGGTGGTGCTCGCCTGCTCGGTGATGCTCTGAGGCGGCTTTGTATCGTCTGGCACTGGAAACCTGCAGCGTGTGGAAGGCAATAGGATTAATTGAGGTATCAGGAAATGATGTCTGGTTATACATCTCGTTTGCAGAAGGTCATAACAGCAAGAGGGTGTTCTTCTACTTGGTACTAAAGATTCTTGCCATGAAGAGGTTGAATAATTTTGAGACAGTAGAAGTCATTAAAAGTTGCATTTTCAGTTGAATTTGGGGAAACAACTTGAAACATTTGTTGTTTTGAGCTATTTCAATTACTTTTGTATGATTTGTTCATTGCAAACAGCTGATAGTCTGTAAATTGTCCCAATTAACCTGATTTGCAATGGGGGTTGAATAATTTCGATTACCACTGTATCTGGTCTTTAATAGTGTTCTAACTTTATATACATCATTCATGGAAGGTTTCTTTCTGTAAGGTTTTAGTTGGACGTTCATCAAAAATAACATTCTCATAATGTTAGCAAAATGGTAAATGGAATGTTTCCTTAACGTTCGCATAACCAAGATAAAACTTTTTTCATAACTTAATATGAACATTAGCAAAATGTTCTTAGAACATAGTTTTTGTTAGCTGGGAATATACAAAACAATCCTACTTTGACCAAAGTGAATCAAGTATTCTAGAGCAGAGTAATAAATGAATACATAAATATCAACACTAATATTCTCTAGACTAGCTTGTTTTGAATAGGGTCTCACATGCTTTCTTTTACATGTTAGGAGGACCACTTCCTGGACACCTGCTTTGGAGCTATTGGACGGGATTCACTAAATTCTTCCAGGCCAATTTCCAGTTTAGCCGAGAACCCTACTCAGATAAAGGAAATGTTTGATACTGTGTCATATGACAAGGTTGGAAAATGTTAAACGTTAAAACATTATCACTATTGCAGGTGAAGATGAGTGCCAACTCTTTCATTTTTTTTTCAACTATTACTGAATATTTTAGGGAGCATGTATTCTCCATATGCTGAGGCATTTCTTGACAGATGAAGGCTTCCAGAGTGGCATAATTCGGTATCTTCGGAGGTTCAGGTACAGCAATGCCAGAAATGAAGATCTGTGGGACAGCCTTATTAAAGTATGTCACTTCTTCATCCACTGCCTTTTTCTGTCATACATTTAAAATGTAGCATCGAAACAAATACTCATTCTCTCTTCACGCTCTGTACAGACATGTTCTGAAGAGGAATTCACAGCAGGAGAACACTGTTACAGCAGTACTCAAGCTACTAAAAATGCGGTAAAGTGTCACATTATAAATAAAATATTAGATTTTTGCTATTTAACATTCACAGCACTCTGAATAGACACCACAAAAGACATGCTTCAAAATGTTTTCTTGCACCTTGATGGTGATGCTTAACAGTCTGAAAAACTCTTTGTTTAACTCTTTACATTGTAGTATCGTTTTGCTGGGGAGCACGTAGACCTGAAGGAAATGATGTATACTTGGACTCTACAAAAGGGCATACCACTGGTCACAGTGAAGCGGCAAAAAAGGAAACTTTATATTGGGCAAGAACGCTTCTTAAAGATTGTCCTGCCAGATGATCCCTCATGGCATTCACTTCAAGATGGGTAACAACACTACATAATCACATGTATACATTGTTTGTTTACAGTTCTCGCTGTCATTTGTGTTTTACAGTTATATGCCATAATTACAGGTAAAGGCAGTGAAATGTCTCTGATATGACTCTTCGTAACAGAAAACAATTCTTCTCCATAGCTATCTGTGGCACATCCCTTTGACATATAAAACAAGTCACTCTGACCATGAGATAAAGCACATTTTGTACACAAAATCAGGTAAGATTTGGTGAAAAATCATTCTCAAATGTATGTACGGTATATATATATATATAAACTGGGTCTAGTTGCCACATGAGGAATTTGTTAGTTACAGTAGTTGGATGTTGTACTTGGTGAAATCAAGTTCACCCGTACAGTCAATAACTTTTTCCACCAATCTCTCAAACCCAGATGTGTTGACGCTGGATGAGGACGTAGACTGGGTGAAGCTCAACACTGACATGAATGGATATTACATGGTTCATTATGATGAGGAGGGCTGGAACGCCCTGACGGAGCTTCTGAGAGTAAACCACACTGCTCTGAGCTTTAACGACAGAGCCAGTCTCATTCATAACGCCTTCCAGCTAGTCACGTGAGTTACTGTGCAGGTCCACTGCTCTCCTTATAAAGCACGTCTCATCACAGGGAAAACAAGAGGAGCATAATTGTATTATCCTATGAGCTCATTTGTAATGTTATTTATTTTCATAATTTCCAGCGCAGGACGACTGTCACTAGACAGAGCGTTAGATCTGATCAGCTACCTGAAGTCTGAGACCCACAATGTTCCTCTCCTGCAAGGGCTTGGCTATCTTCAATCATTCTACAAGCTGATAGAAAAGAGAAACATAGCTGACGTTACTCATAATCTGAAGGTATGACACAAACATTTCCTGGAGTCTAATTTCATTCCTCATTCCTCCACATATCCGTCAAAGAGTCTTTCATTTCAGTAAGGCAGCTTGCAGAACCACACGTTGAGTTCAAATGAGATCCTCTTCTGATCCTATCTGGTTTTGTCCTGCAGACGTACATCTTGCAGTATTTCAGAGATGTGATTGACAAGCAGTCGTGGAGTGATGACGGGACGGTCTCAGACCGGAGACTGCGTGAAGAGGTTCTTTCCCTTGCATGTGATTTTGGTTATCCACCGTGTTTGGAAAAGGCTAAACAGCTCTATGATAGCTGGGTGGAATCCAATGGTGCAATCAGGTGACTTGACAACACAGTATTTGTTTCTGCACTTATACCCTCTAAAAAAATATCACATTTTTATCATTTGAAATGATTATATAAGCAGATTTCTTAACACCTGACTAATGTTTTACATACAGCTTACCAACTGATGTGTCTGAGACGGTTTATATGATTGGAGCCCAGGATGACCGCGGTTGGGCCTACCTTCTGGAAAAGTATGGTGATTCCATGTGTGAGACAGAGAAAAGCAAGTTCCTCTCAGCTTTAGCAAGCAGCAAGGACTCTGAAAAACTATCAAGGTAGCCTACATTGTTATCGACGCATTTACACTAGAACCCCCACGGGTCGTTGTATACCGAAAACCGCCAGCGTGTAAAATGTACCCATGCACATGACTACTGTTTTTAATCTGGTTTTATTTTTAACAACAGGGAATTTTAAAGGGGTCATATAATGGTACATGCACTTTTACAAGTTGATTGTACTGAAATGTGTGTTGGCAGTGCCTGTAAACAACCATCATAAAATGATAAAAATCCATCCAGTGTTTTTGTTTTAATCTTCTTATATGTTTACCCCTGCCTCAAATTGAGCCGTTCGATTTTGTGACGTCACACGCTCGGAAGCCCCTCCCACGATTGTTGATTGACAGCAGCGTTTCAACACAGACCCGCCCTCGCTCGTGAGCGAGCTGTCTCAGTCATAGTCTGCGCAGACCGGCGCGGTCATTGTTGATATGCTGGAGCACTGTCTATGAGCAGAATGGCGTCTAAGCGATTGTGGTGTTCTGTTCTTGGGTGTAAAGGCCATTGCACACTGAGTCCGAAATTCGCGTCCGAAATTATCGCACGTTAAAAAATAAATACGACCTCACGTTATGTCAATCACGCTTGCACACCGCCTCCGAAACTTTCGTGCGTCATAAAAAAAATCGAACCGGGTTCGATTTTCTGCGTTTTTCGCATCCGTTGCAAGCCGTTTGAATGGTGTTTTGACAATTCACAGCCTCCGAATCACGAATACGAAAAAACGCATACGAAAATTTCGGACTCAGTGTGCAATGGCCTTAATAACGAACACAGCAGTCATTTTAATGTTCCTAAATCCGAACTGCTGAAGACGCAGTGGCTGAGTTTGTTTTCGAAGGGAATATTCCCCACGAGCCACGTCAATGCTTTCATGTTTGCGCGAATCATTTCACACCAGACTGCTTTATAAACGAGGGTCAGTATGAGCTGGTTTTGCTAAGAAGCTGCTCATGAAAAAAGGATCGGTACCAGATATTCGTGTTCCTGCTGAACCTCTAGAACAACTGAAGTGAGTGTAACGTTTTATTAAACTTTATATTAATATTTATATTAATCTTTGCAAATCGCTAGCTGCACGCTTCACAATGAATGCGTCTAAGGTTTACACTCAGGGTACATTACGGCATGTTTTCTATGTATGATGTTCTCAATATAATTCATAATCCCACGTTTATACTGAACAACGCGTTATGGTTATTGTGTTATTGTGTTACAAACGGTGTACACACAGAACAGAGAGGCGGAGTGAGCAAAGCTCATTATCATTTAAAATCATATGCACTGAAACGGCGTGCTGAAAACAGAGCTGTTTTTGACCAAGTAAAATAAGTGTTTTCTTACAATACTAATGAGAATTTTTAAGTAAAGTATATTACAAACTTTTAATTTAGACCCTAAAGAATCATACTAGCTTGTACAAAAATGGCATTATATGACCCCTTTAAATAACACAATTGTAGTAAAAGTAAATGACTGGGAGACTTTTTATTGAAAATCTGTTATGTACATTTGAAAAACAGCCATGGGTAAATTTTACCCTGTGGCGGTTCTAGTGTTAAAAAGTCATATGTATTCTGATTTTGTGTGTTAGGTTTAACATCACACAATGCCTTGTATTTCTCAATTTTTTTTCTGTAGATTATTACAGCTTGGAATGGATGGAACTGTAATAAAAACACAGAATTTACCCAGTCTCATATACATGGTGGCCAGAAATCCAATGGGTCATTTTCTAGCATGGGATTTTGTGAAGAAACACTGGAATGAACTAGTAGAAAAGTAGGTGCAATCCACTGCTTTTTATTTCGGTTATAAAGCTGTTAAATAGCACTAGTTGTGATTTGGTCATTATGTTGTTCATCATTATGAAGAGACTCGTATCTCATTATCAAAGGTTTCCGCTGGGATCTTTTGGAATCAGAAGCATCATTGTTGGCACTGTAACTCAGTTCTCGTCCACAGAGGAGCTGAGAGAGGTTGGTTGTTTACTTGTTGTTTAGAGGGAATGATCAGCTAGTTTTGATGGTTCATTTACAGTGTTTCTATTCATTTTTTGTGTGTTAAGGTTGAGGCTTTCTTCAAGTCCGTCACAGAGCAGGTATCTCAGCTGCGTGTCACACAGGTAGCCACAGAAAACTTGGAGAAGAACATTGTGTGGCTCAGAAGGAATCTGGAGACCATGAGGACTTGGCTTCAGCAAAGACTCAATTAAAACGTAAAAAGCAGATCAACATTTCAGACTAGTATTATATTAGTATAATGGTTTTGGTATATTAATCAGTGGATACTGATTAGCAACTCCATATGACTTTCCAAGTTTTCTATTATTTTGCCTTTTTTTAGATTGTATTTTAATTATATTGGGTAACGGCTTGAATAATGCATGATGTGTTTGCTTTTTCTAGTTTACTTTTTTAAACAGCTATGCAGTTTCAAACCACTAAGGGTTTTGCCTTTGTGTTTTTCTTTGCCTTTGATATGTCTCTTGACAGCTGTGCCACATTTTGTAACTAATGTTAATAGGAGACTGCCTATTAATTAGTGGCACAAAATCATACTTGAAGATGCTGAAAATGAATGAACTGAATAAGGTTTGAAACAAAAAAATAAAAATAAACACGTTTTATATATAAGGGATGATGTCTAGCTTAAAGCCTCTAGTCTAGCCTAAAAACAAAAATGTGTTCTTATGAAACATGACAATGATAGGAAATGGATTAAATGAAGTATATACATGAACATTTTTTTAAAGATGGCAGTCCATTTCATTTTAATTTAGGCCTACTAAAAAAAAAAACATTTAGGAGATTTATCACTTGACCTCCACTAAGCTTTTGTTATCATCACAATCACTTCCATACACCGCAAAATGATGTATCAGCAAGAATAATTAGATCAAATAACTGGTAAATAATTTGGAATTGATTCAATACACTATAGAACATCGCTACATTTTGCTTCAGATCAGCTTTGTCTGCCTTGTTATCTGTTATGCTCAAAACACTGTTGAACGTTGGTTAAGGTATATCGTGCAGACATTAAAGGGGTATTGAGCTGCATTTTTATTTTGTTTTAAATATAATGTTCTTTGAGGTCCAGTTATAATATTAGCAAGATTTTTACATAAAAAAAACCATCCTAATTTAAAAGTACAATTCTGTTTTCGCATCATCTTGGAGGGTCTGAACTTCTTCACCCGCACTACCCCCTCCCCGGTGCGGGTGTGTCAGTTTCCCTGAACCAGAGAGCGGCTCCCGGACTCCTCCTAGGACAGGTTCTGCGCTGGTGACCAACTTCTAAACAAAACAAACATCTTTTCTCAGACATGCAATGTGGAATGGGTTATCTCACCAAAAACATGACATATGGATGGACAAGACCAAGAGGGCAAAATTTGGGGCCTATCAGGAGCAGCCTGTACATTAGTTCAGTCAAGCACCCTTTCCAGCATGCTGAGCACTCGCTTTAAAGCACCTGTGTCACTCAAGGCCATGTGTGTGGGCGCTGTGGCGATCTCAGACTTTGTGGTCTGGGCACTGGGGATGCATGCTGCTGCGTTCACTGCAGTGTTTTCCACAATAGTTGTCTCTGCGTGGCTGACAGCAGCGGTCGCTACTTAAAAACGAGCAGTCAGGAAGAGAGTAAGAGTGTGGTTTCTTTGTTCTCAGCTCCCTTTGATGCTCATCATGGCTTCTTGCACCTCTGATGATGACCACTTGGTGATAGGCTTGCACCTACCCTTATGGGACAAAAATATATGGGAATATACTTCAAAATATAATGCAATATATTACATAATACATATCCATATATGGGAAACTATAGTACTTGTATTTTTCAATATATATCCATTGATCCATTGGCTATATATTAATCCATTTAAAATATTTATAAATTAAGACAAAAATAGCATTACATGTACACAAAGTTTTATCCTTTATTGTGTACATATATTGCACCTACATGCTCACATATAAATGTAAATGTACATTTCACACACACACACACATATATATATATACACACATTCACAGAATGAGTTACAACAGATTTCTAGTTCCCAGCATGCTTATAGGGCAAATGTTAAAATTAAGTGTAATTTAATGTGTTTTGCTCAATATTAATATAGGGGATATTTGTTAGTGTTTAATGTTCTATTATTTTGGAATTTAAAAGGTTTTCTGGTATGTGTGAGTTTTTGGGGTTACATTGTGCTGAAGAGTAGAGCCTGTGACAATTAGCCTAATACCTTCAAGACTATGTTTTTAAAAGTAATGGCTGTTCAATCCTCAGCACAGTGATAGTCTATTGGCTAAATACTTCAGTGCATGCAGGTGTGCTTGTGCTTTTGTTAACTAGTTTGAAAAATGTGAAACATTTACAATGTAAATAATAAAAAATAAGAAATATATTACATGATATCTTTCTCTATATATGTGAGTTTATGCAGCATGAGTAAATATATCTGCAATATTGCACATGCAAATCTGATCACATCTGTATATTATGAAGTGTATTACTGAATATAAAATTACATTATGATATATTATCACATTTTTTTTCAATGAAAAGTGGCTATTCCTTATGTATTATTCAGTATATTGTAATATATGTACACAATATATCATGCTGTATATTTTTTAAATCTGTTAAAGGGATAGTTCACTTTGAAATAAATTTTTAGTATGTTTTAGCTTACCTCAAGGGCATCCAAGATGTAGGTGTCTTTGTTTCCGCAGTAGTTTCAATTTTGATATTTTTAGGTCAAACCGTTCTTGTCTGTCAGTCATATAATGTCTGAGGCAACATCAGGGCAGTTTGATCATTTTCTTTACATCATACAACACTATCTGTCCTGATTAATCCTTTACCCTTCCCCAAGACTGGTGTAGACATCTTACTCAATTTTAAGCAGCACAACTGTTTTCAACACTGATAATAATCAGAAATGATTCTTGAGCAACAAATCAGCATATTAGAATACATTTCTGAAGGATCACTGAAAAAATGATGCTGAAAATTCAGCTTTGATCACAGAAAAAAAATACATTTTAATTATATTTACATTGAAAGGTATTTTAACTTGTAATAATATTTTGCAATATTACAGTTTTTTACCGTATTTTTGTATTAAATAAAAGCAGCCTTGCATGGTGAGCAAAAGAGACTTGTTTCAAAAAGGATGTCGATTAGCACTGCATTATTCATATACGGTAGGCCTACTTTATTGTCAATAAATAGCTTGAGACACAGTAACACTCAGACTGTAACATGCCAACACTCTCGTCTAATGTAGGCCTGTAGGATAGGCCTGAATGAAACAGACATTACACTAGTGTTAGCGTTACATAATGTTTAGATCGCCTCGTTTTGGATAAGAATAATGACAGGTCATACATAGACTATCTTGACTATCTCCTTGAATTTAATTCACATTGGCCTCTGCGTGAACACACTACGTCCCCCGCGTATTCGGCCAGATTAGCTGTAAACAGTAGCAGTCAATGGAATTTCCCCATAGAGAGCCAAGTAAATGTGTGAGTGAGGGCTCCTTTTACTGTCGCTAGGAGGCAATATTGCTTTACTTCAGTTCACACAATACACTCAAACCACCCATAATATAGGCTAGCTGTCAATGGTGTCTATAAAAAACATAAATAAATTAAATCATTCACATACAAAGTGTTTAAGGATTTTTAATAGAATTAGCCTATTTTTCCTTCCATTCTAGGCTAATCAAAAAAAGCCCGTACAATACCAATTGCATCAAGATGAACTAAATTGCAAATAGCCTAATAGCTTAATAATAAATAAAACCACATAATTACGAACCACGTAATTATTTGTATACCTATTTATCAATCTGGTGATATGGTGGCTTATCAGTATGGAATTGTCTGTTTTCACAGTAGGCCGTCCTCCTCAATAAACAGATAGGCAACTGCTGAAAACAATGACCCAACTATTTATAACGATTCCACTGCACAAATGTGCTGCACACTGCAAGCTCTTGAGAATACACCAGCCTATTGTAGTGTTTTTTCAGAGAGTGAAATAGTTTGCATGTGATTGTCCAAATTGCTGAACATTGACGCTATTACAGTTGTTCTTGTTGAGCATGGCAGTCTGTCTTAGCGCATGGAATCTGCAAACCATTTAAATCATCAGGAATATGGAGCTATTGGTATGAATTAATCTCTTTATAAATTTTTTATATGTAGATTTGATGTTATGTTTCATAGGCTAAGTTTTAATCAAATTTTTGTACATTTTTAATTCAACGATTTTTTTACTTTCTATATGTGTCTGTGTGATTATATGCGAAGCTGTCATTAATGAGGATAAAATGGATCAATATGCCAGCCAGCCAGTCAGTGGCTGTATTTCTTTAGGAGTGCAGCAGCAGTAGTGCTGCCTTAAAGGGAGAGTTCACCCAAAATAAAAATAAAAAATGTCATCATTTACTCGTGTCGTTCCAAACCTATATGACTTTCTTTCATTTGTGGAGCACTAAAAGAGATGTTAGGTGGCATGTTAGGTAATCAGAATCAGAAGAATCATAATTAGATTTATTTCCAAATCTTGGTGAAGCTTCCCAATCCCACACACTGTGTGTGACACACAGGGGGGAAAAAGAAAGAAAGAAAAACATGACACATAAAATAAAATAAGACAAGTGATAAATAGTGTGTTTGGAATTCCACATGTTTTTTTCTATATTCACTTTCCCCCCATATTTATCATTAAAGTCAATCGGGTTCGTAACAGCATGACGGAATGTCCATTTAATGGTGAACTGTCACTTTAAACGGTGCTGCTGAATGGGGAAGTAACACTCGTGTTGCTTGTTTCGCAGCAGTGATTGCCACTTTTAGCTTGTGTCCACTGTTATATCGAAAAACAATGTGCAGCGATGGCTCAATAAACCGCTGATCGATCATTTGACTGCTGTGAAGTGACAGAGCTGTAGATCAGGATAACAATGCTAAGCTAGCAACAGTTGATCTGATGCGTTCCTGCGTTGAGTGAATGTGTTACTCTTCACCTCTCTCGGGATTAAACATCCGCACTTTCAGCTGAAACAGGATTTGTTTTTACTTCAGAGCTACATTTAATCATGGATACTTTTGAAAGCGGTAAGGCTGCAGCTAATATGGACTCTTCATTTAGCTAAACGAAAGGTCGTGCACCTCAAAAAAAGTTATCGGCTAACATGCTACAGCTAGCCGCTTCGCTTTTTATGTATAATGCGATACAATTTCCTCAAGTACTGCTCTTGTATTCATGTTTTTATCATGGTCCTTGATTTGTCCAATTCAGAGTTAGTTATCGAGCTGGTTTGATTAAGTAGGCAAATGTAACATGCAAACTTCCAAGCTGGCTAACAGACAACATTTAAATAGCCATTGGTGCATCTGCGTCGACAGGTCATGACAGGATCTCTGATTAAATTAAATTGTATGTTTATGAGGGGAAGTGAATATAATCAGTAATTAGATCAGTAATTTATTTGTTTTGGTGACTGTCATTCACGCGATCTCTCACAATGTTCTGCTGTCAGCATCCACATTTGACTTTATATTCCCTTTAAGTCATCATCACTGATCTGATACTAGTCTATTACGTGCATCAAGACCTAAATCTCCAGAGTCCCAGGGTTCATGCTTTGCCCGAAATATTGTCCTAATCTTTGCAAGGTGACATTTGCTGCTTTGTGTTTTATGGTCTTGCACATGTGTAACACACAGACACAGGCCAGCTGGGTGTCACTTTTTACTACTGTCTTTGCTTATCTCCTAGTTTAGTTAGCCTAAAATAGTTTCTGTGTTGTCTGTCAATGGCAGCAAAAGCAAAAGCAAAAAAAAAAACTTGTTCTTGTTGACTTCCTGAATGAGATTTTGGCTGTTGAAAGTTTCGCTCACAAAAACTGTCAAGAGCATTTTTTTTACTCATTTTTAATGCTTTTGTTTAAAGCAGTTATTTTAGAAGCATCACGATTGTTTCATGGATTACAAGGCGCGCAATAAAAAAAAAAAAAAAAAAAAAAAACGAAATGTGATTAAAGTTACCATGTAATCAAATATCCTTATTTTTTATGGAATATTGCTCTGTGTTCTTTATTATAAAAACGATCTATCATTTATCAGTGTGTATAATGTATTATTATTATTATTATTATTCATTTGCTCATGTAATCTTTCATTAAAGTCAGCAGATAGTCTTTTCTTCCTTATTGTAACGGATATCCCAGTGAACCGGCTTTTCGAACAAGAAAAATGTAAGACGGACCATCATTTTGTCCAGTGGGAATTGATTTGGATGGCTGTTGTTTGCTATTGCTGTGACAGGTTGTCCCGCCCTCGTGCCAGTAAACACTAGAGAAGAGAAGAGATGTCAATGCAAGAGGAATTTATTTGATTAAAGATTGTGAGGTCACATGAAGACAAAAAAATGTGCATAGATAAATAATTCATAATGAACACTGCAATATTCCATAAACAATAATTGTCTATTTTATTTTCATGGTGAATCTAATCATCAAATTAATCATCAAATTAATAAACGTATTAATTTGATGGCGGATCCAGAAAGGTTCAAACGACCCATGCGAAAACAAGGATAAATATCTGAAAGGCTTTAAATGTAGGCCTAGTCACGCAATGCTGATGTTGTTAACATTAACAATTTGACAACAAAGTATAATTTGCACGGTTTGACGTGATATGATAATCGATCGTTAGATTTAATCAGTGCGATTTACTGCAATGCTTTTTTCCCTTAGTTGGTCAGAACAAAAGTGGATGTTACTTACTTGTTCAGATGACATTTTAGGATGAAAATTCTTATGTTGGTCATACTTCCAAAAAGAATAATCTGTGATTCTGAATGCCAGTATCCACACCGGCGCGGCGACTGACAGCCTCACTCTCTCCTCAAACATTGTGTTCATCCGCGCTGTGCCGTGTCGAAGTACAACTCATGTAAAGTTGATAATTCCGCGAATTACTGCAATTGCAGATTTCGAACAGAGATGGCGACAAAGAGGAAAAACTGCGGACTGCAGCTTTAATTACTTTTGCTCAACTTTTTGAGGACTTCTTTTTAACTTGCATTAGTTTGCCTATAATATAAGGGTATATTACATGACAATGATGTTTAAAAAAACAGAAAAGTTTTTCCTTTGCTGTTTTTGAAAAGTTTCGCGTAAAGGCGACAACGTTGTCAAAACGCTCACCGTTCACACGGATCCGTGAAAATGACTAAAAACACTGCATTATGCATGCCAGGCCAATGTCACTTTGTAAGGAAACACTAAGCACACAATACTACGCATTCTTCTACAGAGCGGTGAATACAAACAGTAAATCTATACTTTGCCGGAGAAGTGTAAATTCTCTTGGGCAGCCCAAATAAAGTCCACCATTGTTGTTTTGGTTGTCAAGTTCTCGCGTATGCCTTTGACTGAACGTGTAATACGCATGCGCATGATGTCACCGTTTTAAACATTTTTTGCACTTTGAAACGCATTTTCGAAAGTTTCTGTTTTCAGGCCTCCAAACGCTGTTGTCTGAACAGCCAATGCATAAAAAGGTGTCAGTTTTAGTTGAAAACAGGATTGTGTAAATGCCTCCTTAGTTTATGCTGTAGTATCAAAATTGCTATCAAGAATTGTGAAATTTCACTAGCCTCTAAAATGTTGGTATCATAGCAGCCTTATTTCCTGTAAAATATACCTAACTTGATGTATATCGCTATCGTGAAAACAAAATTACTCGTATAAGGTTTTGGTCAACTCTTAATCATGTTATATAATCGTGATAACAATATTGACCAAAATAATTGTAATTATGATTTGTGCTCTAATCGTGCAGCCATACCCTCCAGCAACCTGTCATTTACATGAGATCACAGCAACAACTCATTGATCTTATCAATTCCAGATGGACAAAATCATTTGAGAAGTCATTTCACTCAGATATGCGTCACAGCAGGAAAGGAAAGACGATGTCAACTTCCACTCCATGCCGACTTTAACTGACATAGGTTAATTATGGCATCTTAAAGCAGATAGTCTTGAAAAAATAGGCAGCATTTTAATAACATATGCAAAATATATGATTAATTTATGAAATATGATCTTGATATGTTTCTGTGAGATTTATTAACTTAAGGAACTGTAGCAAGTGTTTGCTTATGTGCTTATGACTGAATAGTCACAAACTCTGAACTGTGCTAAACGATAAATCAGGCATGTTGTTGTTAAAAAAAAGTTGAAATTCAGGCCACTTAAAGAACAAGAGTCTTTGTGCAGCAGACCTGAGTTTGACCTCAGGTCAGTAGGTAGGACACATTTTAGTGGTTTCAAGCAATGTGTTAAACAGTAATTTGATTACTGTTAACTTAGAGCCTTGATTTGTTATTGAATTCATTTAGTCTAATCCTCTGTGAAAGGAGTAAAAGAGGAACACTGCGGTGGTCACTTTATTTTCTGTCAGGGTATTGACAAATCATATGCAGACAATAGTTTAGCAACACTGAATTGAGTATGATGTGCATTGGTGACAGCCTGTGGTCATGGCTGGAAGTATTTACTGAACCGAATCTTACCGATGATCTTAAAATGAAAGAAAAGCACATTTTCATGCATCTCTGTGCATACAAAAATGCACAGAGATGCATGAAAATGAGCTTTTCTTTCATCTTTAGTTTCACTTTCATTTGTTTTCTTCCTTTTGCACTCTGACTTAAACCACTTGTGTAGGCTGACTACAAAATCACTCAAGTTTTCAGAAAAGCTCTTGGTTATTTTAGACGGCATCGCTCTTGTAAACAGGAAGCCACTTCCAACAACCGTGCTTTTGTATTCACTTATGTTTTTATGTTGCTACTCTAACCTACAGAAAGAGCTCCCCTGCCAAGGAACATGATTGAGAACAGCATGTTTGAGGAAGAGCCAGATGTGGTGGATTTGGCGAAGGAGTCCACTTCCTACCCCATCGACTCAGATGATGTAGTCTATGAACCCCGCAGCTCGCGACTTTTAGTCCGAGGCCTTGGGGAAAACGACCTGGACGAAGACGAGGAAGACTACGAATCCTCCGCCCGTCTTCTTGGCATGTCCTTCATGAACCGTAGTTCCAACCAGCGCAGCGCTGCCTCATCCTACACCCGCCACCAGCCTTCTGGATTGTGCTCGATGCCTTCAGCTAAGACTACGGTGGTAGGTGTTCTCCTCCTGGTTGTGGTGGTCTCCGTATTCATGGTCATTTACTTCGTTCCAGGCTGCACTTTCACCAGAAAGGGGTGCCAAAAGACAAATTCAACCATGGAGAAAATCTATCCAATTTCTACAAGTGATGAACTTTTCCCATGGACAGAGTTGAGGTTACCATCCAGTGTGCATCCAGTGCATTACAATATTTCACTCCATCCCGACCTGAAGAATATGACCTTTCAAGGCAGTGTGTCAATCAAAGTGGAAGTGTTAAATGAAACAAAGATTATTGTCCTGCACAGTTCTGATATGAACATAACCAAGGCCACTTTCCAAGATAAAGTGGTCCACTTCCTGGAGTACAAACCTTGGCAGCAGATCGCCATCAAATTTCCAGAAGATCTTAAGAAGGGGCTATATGTTTTGAACATTGACTACACAGCAAACTTCTCCAACAGCTATGATGGCTTCTACAACAGCTCCTATGTCGACACAAATGGTACAAAAAGGTATTTGCAGTCCAATTCACCTTTGTGTAACTTTCTGAATATTTAGGATACATTTGAATGAACTAGTCTGCTTAAGTGTGTACATTTACTTCTACTTAGTTCTATATCTTTATGCCTCTCAAACACTTCTTTTAATTCACTCCATCTTTCTTCTAGAGTTTTGGCCGCTACTCAGTTTGAGCCCTTGGCAGCCCGCAAGGCTTTCCCTTGTTTTGACGAGCCAGCTTTTAAATCAACTTTTCTAATTAAGATTACCAGAGAATCCAAGTATATCAGTCTTTCAAACATGCCAAAGGTAGTTTTGTTTGTTTGTTTGTTGACTGTTTTTCCCCTTTAAATGAAATCTTTAAATTGCTGTGTATTGTGTGTGCTCTTGAATATGTGGTTTATGAGGACACAAATGTGTATAATGACATGGGTATTACAACGTAAACATGGTTTATGAGGACACTTCCTGTGTCCTTGTAAACAAAATGGCTTAAAAACATACTGAATGTTTTAATGCAGTAAGTTTTCGGTGATGGGTAGGTTTAGATATAGGGTTAGTATAAGGGGATAGTTTGTACAGTATAAAAACCATTACGCCTATGAAGAGTCCACGTAAACCACATATACAAGTGTGTGTGTGTTTGTGTATACACTACCGTTCAAAAGTTTGTGTTTGTTTTTGTTTAAAAAAAAAAAAAAAAAACTTTTATTCAGCAAGGATGCATTAAATTGATCAGAAGTGATAGTAAAGGTAAATAGTAATAGTAAAGGTAGATAGTAAAGTAAATTCTATGATGTTAGAAAAAAAAAAAAATATATATTTAAATTTATGCTGTTCTTACCATTACTTTTTTTTATTCATAAAAGGATCCTGAATTTTTTTATCACAGTTTACACAAAAATATCAAGCAGCACAACAGTTCACATCATTGATAATAATATAGTAATCGTTTCTTGAGCATCAAATCAGCATATGATACTAGATTTCTGAAGGATCATGTGACACTGAAGACTGGAGTAATTGCTGGTGAAATTCAGCTTTGCCATCACAGGAATAAATTACATTTTAAAATATATTACAATAGACGATGGCTATTTCAAATTGTAATAATATTTCACACTACTGTTTTTACATTACCGTTTTTTTACCCTCACATTACTGTTTTTGTATTTTTGTTCACACATGTTCTTACATTCAGTCTTGGTGAGCATAATAGAGTTATTTCAAAAACATAAAATATTTCTGATCCCAAACTTTAGAACAGTATTGTGTATATAATATTTGTTTTATAAAACCATTTTCTTATTTTTCTTTTGATAATTTTATAGTTTTGTAATTGTATTGTCCATACATTTTTGTTTTAATTTTTTTAAGGTCAAAACCACGGATTTTAAAAATGGCCTTCTAGAAGACGAGTTTAAGGAAAGTGATACAATGAGCACTTACCTGGTTGCATTTATTGTGGCTGAATTTAGTAGTTACAGCACGAATGTCTCTAATACTACGGTATGTATTCTTCTCAAAATCGTTGTCTTGTGTTGAAAATATTCTGGAAACATATTGCATTACGGTATAGGTTTTGTTTGTTTTCTTCAAATGTTGTGCAGGTGTCTGTGTATGCCGTTCCAGACAAAAAGGAACAAGTGCATTATGCTCTGGACGCCGCTGCAAAACTGTTGGAGTTCTACAATAATTTCTTTGAGATTGACTACCCATTAAGCAAGTTAGGTAAGACACCATTCCTTACAAAAACTCTTCAAACGGGGATTATTAGATTCCTAGAATAGCTGAATGTACACACTAATGTAATTTTATGAATAACAAACTTAAAAATGTTTAGTTGTGTTGCCTTACATGACCACGTTTTCTTTCGAAAATCAATAGATTTAGTGGCCATTCCTGACTTCCTCGCTGGAGCCATGGAGAACTGGGGACTAATCACATTCCGTGAGACAACTTTGCTAGTAGGGAATAATTCCTCCCCTCTAGACAAGCAACTGGTGACTTCTGTCATTGCTCATGAACTTGCCCACCAGGTAATTCACTTTATAAATAAAGAAACATTCTCATGACAGGGTAATAGTCACGTTCAAATGGTTTATAACTATTACTGGTAAAAGCAGACATTTGGCATTATCAGGACCCACAAATATTGCCCCATTGCATTGTTATACATTATATATATATATATATACACACACACACACACACACACACACATATATATATATATATATACAGGGCTCCAGACTAACTTTTCCACTGGTTGCACTGGTGCTACCAACTTTCTCAGTTGGTCGCACCAGCATATGATTTGGTCGCACCTTTTTTTTTTTTTTTTTTTTCATGCCATGGGATTAATCAATGCATGCTGATGAATAGTGGTTTTAATGGACCAAGGCTAGCAAAGGCTTTCTGGGTTGCAGCAGAAATACCTGTAATATATTAATTATCATTGCCAAATTTCAGGATTTTCATGGATTTTGGACAGTAATTTTAATCTGTAATTTTAAGCATTTTACATTTGAATTATATACAATCTATCTATTTACATTTGAATCATATTCTATCTATCTATCTATCTTTCTATCTTTTAAAAATCATTAAACATTCAAATGTATGCATTACATTTTAAAAGATTAGAGTATTATAATAAACTGATACAGATTTTTCGTTATCAAAGTTTATAGTTGTAACAAAAAGCAGAAATCTCACACTCCTTACCTTCTGCATTTTATAATAATTTCCTTTTCCTCTGTCGAGCGATCATGAGAGTAATCGCTCGACAGAGGAAAATATAACCGCTGAAAAGGGGCTCTGTGTTTCGTGAGACCATTTTTATCATTTTTATATGCCTTAATTCGTGAATTCGTAATTGGCGCGTTTCACCATCAGTGTGCAATGCGCGTGACGTCTACGTTCCTCAATAAATAAACTGCACGTGTCTTGCGGAAGAACATTGTAGACGGAACTTCTCTCCGTTAATGTCTATGGCGAGTCACGCAGGCACTGGGCTACTCCGCAGCCGAGACGACCCCGGGATAAAATAGTCCGAATATAAACACTTATTATAGGCGTACCGTAGTGATTCAGAATAAGTCAAAAACACGGTTTGGAAAATGGATTCATGATGTAGCCTACTCGTTCATTTTGAACATAAGTTACGGACTGCAGCAGCTGATACAACGGCGTTCTGTTGCTCAAGCGTCCACTCGCACAAATGCGACCACATAACATTTTAACTCGCACATTCTCAAAAAATGGTCGCATATGCGACCAATTTGGTCGCAGTCTGGAACCCTGATATATATATATATATATATATATATGTGTGTGTGTATATATATATATATATATATATATATATATATATATATATATATATATATATATATATATTAGGGCTGTCAAATGATTAATCGTGATTAATCACATCCAAAATAAAAGTTTTTTTTACATAATATATGTGGGTGCACTGTGCATAATTATTTTATATATATAAATACACACACATGCTTGTATATATTTAAGAAATATTTTCATGTATATACTGTATATAGATTTATATATAATTTATATTATATATAAATAGAAATATTTTATATATAAATAATATTTTTTTCTTAAATATACATGCATGTGTGTGTATTTATATATATATATAGAAAATAATTATACACAGTGCACCCACATATATTATGTAAAAAAAACGTTTATTTTGGATGTGATTAATCATTTGACAGCCCTAATATATATATATATATATACATTATATAAATGTATACATTATACACAGTACACACACACACATATTGTGTAAACACAAACTTTTATTTTGGATGCGATTAATCGTTGCCCAGCACTAATAGTAATATAAAATACAAATGATCAATCGTAAATGAATTCTTTCAATTCTAATAAAAAGAAAAGGCGAGTCAGACATGCTGTTCATTATGTTGTTTTTCTCTTCAGTGGTTTGGAAATCTGGTGACTATGAGATGGTGGAATGATCTTTGGCTGAATGAAGGATTTGCAACCTACATGCAGTACATGTCGATTAAAAATGTGTTCCCAGACCTTGACATAGTAAGTTTTAGACTAAATTAGGAGAAATACCCTTTAGCTCTTTCCGTACGTTATTTTTTGTTGTTTGAATGTGTCTATATTTAATCTTGTGTCTTTCATTTCCAGGGCACTGAATTCTTAAATGTTCGATTTAAAGCACTAGCCAAAGATGCATTGAACTCGTCCCACCCAGTGTCTACTGTCGTGAGCACCCCAGAGCAGGTTGAAGAGATGTTTGACTCTGTGTCTTATGAGAAGGTATATCATACATTACCTATTACTTGTGAAGTGTGCCAGTTTTCAAAAACAGCGTTAATTAAGCCATTGTAATCATTTTCATTGATTGTTATTGATTGTTTATCTATTCTCATAACTTGTTTCTTGATCATGCAAGGGTGCTTCAATACTGCTGATGCTCAATGCAACCCTCACAAATGGGGAGTTTCGAAAAGGAGTGATTGAGTACTTACTAAAGTATAACCGATCAAACACAGAAAGTAAAGATTTATGGAACAGTCTTTCTCAGGTCAGACCTTTTTTTACTAGATTGAATTTAAAATGTCTGAACAGTGATTGCTTTTCAATATTTACGATAACAAAGCAAATAGTTTTTTGTTTTTTTTAGTGTCATGCATACAGTTACTATACTTAATGAAAAAGCAACTGAGCTAATATCTGAGCCATGTTTTTATTAGCGTACACTGACATCCATGTTCTCCATAGGTGAGCAAACAAAATTTAAGTGTATCTGAGATGATGAACACTTGGACTGTTCATAAGGGCTTTCCTCTGGTCACAGTGAAGAGGAATGGCACTCAAGTGACATTGTCGCAAGAACATTTCCTTCTGAATGCTGAAAACAGCACAGACTACAGGTAGAGGATTTTAACAGTAAAACATATATCTACAAATGTTTTGTAATGAATAAGGGCGAGATTAGATCCGTTTGCTGTTGGTTAGTAATATTCTTTAGGCTCTTTTTGCTACTTTAGGTACCATATGTTCCGGAGAATAAGTTGCACTTGACTATCAGTCGCACCGGGTCAAAATTCTGTCATCATTTACTCATTACTCACTCGTGTCATTCAAATTCTGTAAGACTTTCATTTATCTTTAGAACACAACTGAAGATCTTTTTAATAAAATCTTAGCCAGTTATGTACCCTCCATTGACAGCTACCACTTTGACACTTCAAAAAGTTAAGAGATTGTAAACCTAATCCAAATGAATTGAGTGGTTTTGAGTCAGAATTTGCGGAGACACGATCACTTTATATGATGAACAGATTTAATTTAGGCTTTTATTCCCATTTAAACATTGATCAGTGAACATAAACAGAAGCTCAACTGAACCTGCTTGACAAACGAGAACAAACCTCTTGAAGCTCAAACGTGCTGCGTAACACGAGAATGAACCTCATTGGTTCTTGAGGAAGCTCAAACGTGCTGCGTAACACAAGAATGAACCTCATTGGTTCTTGCGGAGCTCAAACGTGCTGCGTAACACAAGAATGAACCTCATTGGTTCTTGAGGAAGCTCAAACGTGCTGCATAACATGAGAATGAACCTCAGTGGTTCTTGAGGAAGCTCAAACGTGCTGCGTAACACGAGAATGAACCTCATTGGTTCTTAAGGAAGCTCAAACGTGCTGCGTGACACGAGAATGAACCTCATTGGTTCTTAAGGAAGCTCAAACGTGCTGCGTAACACGAGAATGAACCTCATTGGTTCTTAAGGAAGCTCAAACGTGCTGCGTGACACGAGAATGAACCTCATTGGTTCTTAAGGAAGCTCAAACGTGCTGCGTGACACGAGAATGAACCTCATTGGTTCTTAAGGAAGCTCAAACGTGCTGCGTGACACGAGAATGAACCTCATTGGTTCTTAAGGAAGCTCAAACGTGCTGCGTGACACGAGAATGAACCTCATTGGTTCTTAAGGAAGCTCAAACGTGCTGCGTGACACGAGAATGAACCTCATTGGTTCTTAAGGAAGCTCAAACGTGCTGCGTAACACGAGAATGAACCTCATTGGTTCTTAAGGAAGCTCAAACGTGCTGCGTGACACGAGAATGAACCTCATTGGTTCTTAAGGAAGCTCAAACGTGCTGCGTGACACGAGAATGAACCTCATTGGTTCTTAAGGAAGCTCAAACGTGCTGCGTGACACGAGAATGAACCTCATTGGTTCTTAAGGAAGCTCAAACGTGCTGCGTGACACGAGAATGAACCTCATTGGTTCTTAAGGAAGCTCAAACGTGCTGCGTAACACGAGAATGAACCTCATTGGTTCTTAAGGAAGCTCAAACGTGCTGCGTAACACGAGAATGAACCTCATTGGTTCTTAAGGAAGCTCAAACGTGCTGCGTGACACGAGAATGAACCTTATTGGTTCTTGCTCACACGTCAAGCGAACATGCTTGAGCTTCCGTTTACTTCAACTGATGTGTGAGTTGATGAATGTTTATATGTGAATAAAAGACTAAATTCAATTTGTTCATCATATAAAGCGATCGAGTCTCTTCGACCTCTCAATTCATATGGATTAGGACAATCATATGGACATATGGAGATTTTACGATCTCTTTTAAGAACTTTTTGAAGCGTCAAAGTGGTAGTTGCGTGGCTGTCAATTGAGAGACAGAAATCACTCAGATTTTATTACAAATAATCTTTATTTGTGGTTTGGAATGAAATGAGGGTGAGTAAATGTGACAGAATTTATTTTTTTGGGTGAACTAACCCTTTAAAAGAATAAACAAAGATCGCATCGGTTTATAGTTCATTTTTTTGTTATTACTCTTAGAAATACCAGTACATAAAACGGAACGTTTACAAACATAGTGGCAGTAAAGACATTTATAAAGATTTCTATTTCAAATACTAACTGTTCTTTTGGACGTTTTATTCACAAAGAAAATGTATCGTGATTTCCACACAAAAATTAAGCACCTCAACTGTTTTAACATGGATAATAATAAGAAATGTTTCTTGAGCTGTAAATCAGCATATTAGAATGACTTGTGAATGATCGTGTGACACTGAAGACTGGAGCACAGCTGTGGCCAAAAGTATTGTCAGTGACAATGTTTTCTGCTTTAGTTGTTGTGGTGTTTATTAACATTGTTTCTAGATTATTGTGCAGAGTGATCGATGCATCAGCACATGGGAAAGTGTGAACAAGTCCTAGTCATGTGAAATCACTCCTATGAAAGCCTTATTATCATTATTTTCCAGTATACCATAGAAACATGAAAATATAAACTACAAATACTGAAGTATAACTTCTATTATATTAGTATAATTTATGTCGCTGCCAATATTTTTGGCCACGGGTGTAATGGCTACTGAAAATTCATCTTTGACATCACAGGAATAAATTACGTTTTAAAATATATTAAAATAGAAAGCAGTTATTTTAAATTATAATAATATTTTTAGGGCTGTGCAAAGATTAATTGCGACTAATCGCATCCAAAATAAAAGTTTGTGTTTACATAATATATGTGTGTGTGCTATGTATAATTATTTTGTATATATAAATACATATGCACGCATGTATATATTTAAGAATTATTTGCACGTAAATACTGTGTATATATAAATACATAATCTATATTATATATAAATATTTTATATATGAATAACAGATTTTCTTAAATATATACATGCATGTGTGTGTATTTATATATACAAAATAATTATACACAGCACACACAAATATATTATGTAAACACAAACTTTTATTTTGGATGCGATTAATCGCAATTAATCTTTGCACAGCCCTAAATATTTTACAATAATTCTGTTTTTACTGTATTTTTTTGATCAAATAAATGCAACCTTGTTGAGCATAAGAGACTTTCAAAAACATTTCAAAGTCTTACCGAACTTTGAACTGTAGTGTATGGCATGAGATAGAATAGTATTGTTTGTATTAAGGTTCCAGAGGTTTAAATGATCTATTAAAACAGCAAGCTTTACTTGATGTCCGCCTCTCTTAATGTTTAATGTTAATTGATCGACTTTTGTGTTCCATATAGCACCTTGTGGCATGTTCCCCTGACATACGTGAACGACAGCTGTAGTGTTCTCAGCTCCTGCAAGCAAGTGTTTCATCTCAAGGACAAAACAGGTGAGCATTGTCCTCAGGACCGAGTGTACGGACACAGACAGATTATTCCAACCACTGGAGATGATAATATATTGTTTGTTGCTTTAAATCTTTTCCAGCCATATTAAAGCTTCCAGGTGAGGTGAAGTGGTTGAAGTTCAACTTCAGGAGTGATGGCTTCTACATAGTGCATTATGATATGGAGGGATGGAAGGCCTTGATTGATGCTTTGAATGGGAACATAAATGTCCTCCCCTGTGAAGACAGAGCAGCTCTCATCAATAACATCTTTGCTCTCTCCAGGTAGATTTGATTTTAAATGAAAGGTTAAAGGTATTAGACAAGATTTAAAGAGCTGATGCTACAGGATTCCTACAATCAAGGAAAACCTGACATTATCAGGAAATCATTCATTTATTATTATTTACCAATAGTTTTTATTGTTGTGATTCAGCTATAAAATATTGTTATTTGATAATACTGCTATTTGCAATTGCAGTTTCACAAAAAAATAATACACAATTTTTAAATAGTTTAAAAATGTTTTAAATAATTATTCCATCGTGAACATCTGGAGAAAGAAACACAATGATTGGTGTGGGAACTGAGTGTTGTACATTTGAGAATATGTCATAGTGATGTGATAATACTGTAATACCCATCAAAACCAGCATGCAATATTTATATATGTTTTAATATTTTTTTCAAGAATATTTTCTGCAGTGTAAAATTAAATGATTTGTCCTTTTTTATTTTTTGCATTCATTCATCAAAATACAAGAATATAGTTGAAATATTATTACAATTTAAAAAATTGTCTTATAAATATCTCGTTATGCTATATTATCACCAAATATGGGATTCAATCTTTTTGTCAACTTTCAGTTAGGACAGGTATTGTATTTATATTTTAAACTGACTGATTGTAGGCCTCATTGATCTGAGCTTATATTGGTCAAAAATAACCATCCATTGAAAATGAATTGGGGGGAGATCGAAATTTTGTGTTCAGGAGCATGTTCACCATGTTCATGTTAACATATTTGCTTATGTACTCGCAAAGATAAAAGCCTCGGACCTGTGCATGCTTGGATACATGCGCGCGCACACACACACACATTCATGTACACAAACAAACTATTAAGAGAATTACAGGCTCTCTTTTTCAGAGAGATCAATGAGGTCTACGATCAATCAGTTTCAAAAATATATATATGTTTATTTTTGGGATGGTTAATTATGCTTCATGTTTCCTCCAGATTGGGAAGGGTGTCCTTCAGGCAGGTCTTAAACCTAATGGATTACATCAGAAACGAGAACGAGACGGCTCCTCTGATTGAAGCTCTCTTCCAGCTTGATCAGATTTACAGATTGCTGGACAAAAGATCAGAATTGAACTTGGTGTCTAGAATGACGGTAGGAAACAACGTTCATCTGCAACATTTATGTAGCTGTTGTATTCAAATGTCTCTCTTTATTTTATCTTAGGACAATGTATTTAGTTCTAAAAGTTGTTTGACTTCAATCGTTGCAGGGTTACATCGACTCCCATTTTGGAAGTTTGATGGAGAGTCAGTCATGGGAACTGGAAACTTCCGTGTCGAAGATGACGCTTCGGTCCGCCCTGCTGGAGATGGCATGTTCCCTCAACAGACTCAACTGCACAACACAGGCCAAACATCTGTTTGATCAGTGGGTCCATTCCAACAAGACTTCTCCGTAAGTTTGAGTAGTGATTGACCCGCTACCCTTTACTGAATTATTTGAATTGCTCTTCGTTAACTGATAACTAGTCTTGTGATTTGCACAAAAAAAAGAGTCATTATTGTTAGTTCTGCAAAGAGAAGGAAAGAGATATTGTCTAAAGCTCTTGACTCTTGTGCTCCTAACTGCAGTTTTTTTCTCTTGTTATATGCTGTGTTGTATTAGGATTCCCAGTGATCTCATGAGAACAGTCTTCAAAGTTGCTGCCCAAACAGATGACGGATGGGATGTGCTTCTAAACACATATAAACACTCCATCTATGACGCAGAGAAGCACAAGACACTGGAAGGTTTGGCCAGCACTCAGGATGTACGGAAAATCCTTTGGTAAGGCTGGACGACATGTTCTGTTGGGAGGGAAAATCTTTCGAGCTGTCAACACATGCAATATTGAATTTCACTTGGTTTTCCATTTTAGGATTCTGAAGAAAAGTCTTGATGGAAGTGAGATTCAAACTCAAGACTTTCCTCTGGTGATCCACACGATTTGCAGGAACTTTGCTGGCTACCTCTACGCATGGGATTTTGTGAAGGAGAACTGGGAAAAAATCACTCAAAAGTGAGTGGTGAACTTTTCATATTTAAAGAATCAAAAAACAACTGGAGGAGGGGGGTTACTTAAATATTTGTTTTTAGCAACATTTTGAATCCACACACATTTAATGTAAATATTACACCTTTTAGTCTTTACATGCATGTGCATACACTGATTGTGCATAGTAAAGGTAAATAAAACAAAATAAAGAAAAAGGGAAATTTTTTTTAATGAAAACACCATGTAAACAATGTTCGTCCAGACGAACAACGATGTTCTAAAACGGAAACGTTTTTCCTTTGCGTTTTGTTGCGTACAGATATTGTCAAACTAATGTTGTCAAAACGATCCCCGTTCACATGGATCTGTGAAATTAACTAAACTAAAGTTGCTGTATTATTAATGCCAGGCCAGTAGTTGACAATGTCACTTTGTAAAGAAACAAATTCATATTTTTGTTGTTTACATGGGGAGGATAACAGTACCATTTTCAAAACATGCACTTTGAAACTAGTTTTCAAAAGCTTGTGTTTTCAGGCACCCAAAACGCATAAAAAGTTTTCCGTTTTTAGTTGAAAACGGTGTTGTGTAAACGGCCCCTTAGTGGAGAAAGGTCATAAATGTTTTAAGGCCAATATAGAAACCAAGATTTTTATAATGAGGTGGTTTTGCAAATGTATCAATTAGTTCATTGTACGTTAAAGCATTCAATGTGTAATTTAATGTGTAATTTAATGTTTTCCCTTTTCCATTTTCTTTATGCAAGGTTTCCTCTGGGATCTTTCCCCATTCAGAGCATCATCATGTCCGCAACCAGTCAATTTTCCACAAAAACTCATCTCATGGAGGTCTGTTCATTCAAAAAAAAAAAAAAAAAGATCATATATATTAGTTAAAATTAAAAAGTCCAATTTTAATTCATGTTTTTGTACTGAATTATTTTTCACCCTTCTTGTCCAGGCCCAGAACTTCTTCAGTTCTCTTGGGGCGAAAGGTTCTCAGATGAGGATCGTGCAGGAGGCCACTGAGACCATTAAGCAGAACATGCGATGGATGGAGAATAACTTGAACACGCTCCAGCACTGGTTGTAGTGTGAGGAGGAGACTGCTCCTCTCTTGTGCCTCTCACTTCCTCAGGTGATGTCACCGGGCACATGCAGGTGTGAGTGATATAACCGATATTACAGCCAGAGCCATACATGTACAAACGTTAGGTCAAACTCAAGACAGAAGAGCAGATTTACTGGGATGTAAAGGGCCGTTTAAAAACATCTCTTTTCAGGGCGTCTTATTTTCCACTGAACTGTGACCCTAGCCAGAAGCTTACTAGATATCTGCCTGAAAACATTTAGCCTTTAATACTAGCTATGTAAATGAACAAGTCTGGATATTAAGCGTAAAGCAGATGTATTTTCTTTCTTCCTTTAAGTTCTGAGTGAAATGAAAGCGTAAAGTCAGCGGCATATGATTTCCTGTGTCATAACTTTAGTAATGCTGCTTGGAAAAGGTTGGCGTGTTTTCTTTTTGTGGTTCGTTTTTCGAGGGCCCCAACTCGGTATATGTATGGCTCTGGCCTCGAGCACTATTTGCACTATACACAAATTCACCTCGCTCAGGGCAAATCTGGTTGTTGTTTAAATATCATGATGCATTTAATCCCTTTTACTTAATGTCGGTGGCTACAGACCAAAACCTCCCATCAGTATCTCTTAAATATGCCCTTATCACGCAATGCCAAAAACAATAGTTGCCTAGTGAAATACTGAAATCATGTGACAAGAGATGTGTCACAACAAGCCCCTTTCTTCTAAGTATATAAGTTTTATTTATGTATGTGCCGCTGATGTTTTTAATCATTTGCAAAGTCTGCAATGCTTGTTATCCAGCACTGTGTAAATGTTATTGCCTGACAAATGTTCCAACTTTCATCCTTTGCACAAGATTTATTTTAAAGTTTAATTTTAGAGTTGAGTGTGTATATTATGTATTGTTTGTGCAGGCTTGCCTATAGGTAAAAGAGAGTTTGTTTGTCATTGGAAAGATTAAGTTAGCATTTCTAAAACATAAGTGTGGATTTTATTTTGGGTTTTGCCATGATGAAGCTGAAATATTTTAGTTTTGTTGTAAAATATAAAAGAGGCAAAGAAAATGTAAACTCACACTCGTTTTACCCATATGATTTGACTCAGATATATATATATATATATTTGTTAGCAAGTTTGGTAAGTCTTTGTGTACAGAGCTTTAGTTAAGGGTAATTTGCTATTGTCAAATTGCTACAAGACAAAAAAAGGCCTCTAAAGTCACATCACTGATGGAGAGTTGTTAGATTTTTCACTCCTTGCTCATCTTAACTGGTTGCTACTGATTTTTTTTTTTTTTTACTCTTCAACGATTTAAGGTTTTTGTGTGTGTTTCTTCACATATTTTCCTCGCCGATTTTCTAGCTATTCAGGAATTGTTTTGGCAGAATGTTTAAAATGCGTTTAGTTTGTCAAAAAATATGGAGTCAAAACAATATCACAATCTCGCACAAATGCATTTGTCAAGATGCACATTTATGCATTTAATTTATTACATTTTGTAAACTCATAATACAGGCCACAAATACACACACACAATTTAGCTTTATTTTAATGAACAAAATCTACTGGGATAGTACCATCAGATGATGATGTGTGTGAATATTTGTGCATTTTTATGCATGCATTTCTAATATCGTTTTAGCTCCATACAGATTTTTAGTTCTTTCCATGTGTGAGTGTGAAAATCTGTGCTCACTGTGAGTAAATTAATACTTCCAGGTTTTTGTTTATAGCTCATAAAATGTCATATATGACTGGTACATTGTAATACAGCTGGTACATTGTTATTATTTCGTTTGTAGTAGTTGTTTTGCCCTTGCTCAGCAGCTTTATTCATATATTTGTGATAGAAGTGAATGATAGTCTTTAAAGGAAGGACAACGGCAGCATTGTTACACTGTAATGGACACTTCTAATGTTAGTTTGGAGCGTTACAGTTATCGATGAATGTATTCATGTTTGTTACTATGGATCGGTTTAAACACAAACATTTTGATTGTAATTCCCATGTATCTGAATTCATCTGGATTTATAATATGGTCAATTAAACACAATGAAGTGTTGAATCAGTTTTCTGAAATTATTTAGATGTCACCGTTTCAGCTGTCATAATTTAGGATTCATATAAACCTGGTGAATCCTGTGATGTCCCTCATGAGGTGTTTTGTGTTATTGGCTGCCATTCACAAAATAAGTATCCATGTAATATTTTTTTCCGTGTGTTTGTGTCAGGCTGCTTAATAGAAATGCTATTTTGGCAAGATTCCAGATGTTAAACGGTTAAACTTGACAGTTTAAAGGAGAAATATGCTTGCTTGTGAAACATTTGCTGTGTTAAATGACTTGAAAACCTTCTAATGCCTGAAGAAACAATAGATTTATTTGTTTGACCAGGATTGAAAGGGGAAAGTGTCTTATTTTATGTTGTTAAACAGCTTCACACTGGGTTTGGATTCTAACGTTTTTAAGATGTTGCTTAATGAAAAACCACTGACCCATCTTTATAAAAGACAAAAAATAAAATTAAAATAAAAATGTGTGCACAAATTCCACAAGTTTTCTGTCTAGATATTCAGTAGATGGCAGTGTTCTCTTGTTCTTTTTTCCAAACATTTATGTGCAAGAACACATAATGTGAAATAAATAAGTACTGTAAATGAAAAACATAAATGCATACTGTATGCTCCATATAATGTTTATTTGTTTAAAATATTAAATGTATATTATAGTGATATGATTTTTGTTGGAGCTGATGTTTGTTAAATGAAGTAACAACTGGGTGAATACGGGAGCTTTCAGAATTCCAGGTTTTATTTTGGTGTTTGCAGGAAGAGTTTTGCTAGTGTTATTTTAAGACTTAAAGTAGAGCACAATAGCTTAGTTGTAAAATGTTTCGCATGCCATAATTAAGTGTTTGACCTATTATTTACAGGAAATAAATCATCATTTGAGGTCACGAGAAACAATTTATCACTAGAGTGTTGGCATGCTTTCTTAGTTATCTCGCCTTTGGGTTTGCTTTTAATAAAGTTGCTTATAAATATGCAATTTTGGAGGCCTTGTTTCCAGAATACAATAGTGTATTGGGGCTTTTTTTTTTTTGGTTAGGCTAGTGGCTTCACTATTTTACTTTTTGTTATATGCTGGCCACAAGGTCAACTGCAACTTCATTGATGAGACTGGCTCTTTCCCCTGAAGATGACACTCCATTTGTGGTTTTTGGGGATTTAAACATCCACTAGCAAACCACAAGTGACTTACAGTTATCTTCTGGCCTCAACGGACCTCTAACAATAATGCAATGTATAATATATAGCCCTCTGTCTGTAGGGAATACCAATATGGCTGCTCGAACACTTCCGGTGGCTTCACCGTCTGCTGGCAGTAAACAATATTGGGCAACGCTTTAGATTACAGCCCGGAAAGTACTGCATAATTAAGACAAATTAACAGCGCAACTTTTGGTAATTATAGTGTACCTATAAAGTACTTACATGTAAGTATAAGGGAACAATATATAACGTTGTGGGAATAAAGGGGTAACAACCAGGAGGATTAATAAATTATTTATACTGCAAGTAATATAGAACTAAGGGGTACTTATTCTACTATTATGATACAGAAATCTTACATTTAACCCTCTGGGGTCCTTCATTTCAGAGTCACACTCAGGACCTTCGGGTCCAAATGGGCCGGAAGGGTGGGATTAATATTTATTTTTAAAAAATCATCTTTTTTTTTTTTTACTTGTTTTTTATAATATTTTTTCTTTTCTTTTTTGGTGTTTTGAGATAATTTCAAAAATAAAAATGATTTATAATTAATATTAATGCAATAATTATGACCCATTTTTTCCCCATTGAATATAATAGAAAATAAAAAAATATATATAAAAAAATATTTTTTTTAAAGCTGTATTTCATTTTAGAGTCAAGCCTAGGCCTCATGAAAGCAATTTTTGAAATGAGATGGATGCCATCTGGTGGTTTTGCACTCTTGATGTTTTATAGATTCACCCCTTCACTGTTGTGTGCTTTTTTCTGGATCGTGGCTGATTTGTAGATTGTACGCACAAAAAAACTCTGTATTTTCCCATTTTTGCCAATTTCCCATTCATTTCCTATGTGGGTCCATTTGGACCCGAAGGTCCTGAGTGTGATTATTTTTTTTACAACCACTTAGACTATTCAAATCCTGTCCCCAATTTTTGTGGGTGTTCATATACCAAGTACCAACAAAGTCACCAAATTTCGGACCATTCCGATAAAGCTATGATTTAAAAAAAAAAAATTTTATTTAAATGCTTCGGGTCCATTTGGGCCGAAGGACCCCAGAGGGTTAATTAAGCGAGCACATACACTGCGTACATTTTTGTAATAATAGTGTACCAATACATACTGTATAGACTTTTAAAAAAATACATATCTGTGCATTTATACAGTAATATATTTTTAACAAAAGTACACTGACAACTAAAACTATTGCAACTTTTGCTTGCATACTGGGGAAATATACTCTTTTTCCATGTAGTTATAGGGTAAGTGTGACATTACGGGCTGTAAATTAAAGTGATGCTTGTTACCCTCTTGTTCCATGTTACAGGCTAAGTACAATGAAAATACATTACATACACACAATCTAATATCACTGACTCTGAAACCTTTGTTTGTTAATTTGTAATTGCCAGCTATAAGCAAACAGTTGAAAAGAAACAAATAGGTTATGGGGACAGAATGACAGAGAAAGCAGAGATGAGGTAAGGAATTAAAGGTCAGTAAGGCCTATGAGTAACCCTTTATGGTAACACTTTAGGGGTGTGCATAAGACTGACATGACACGTCATGAATATGAAGGAGGTTTTATGCATGTTTATGACAACTGTCATTAAAGCTGCAGTCCGTAGCTTTTTTGGGGTTAAAAATTATCCAAAATACATATTTGAGAAAATACATAACCAGCCAGTGTTCAAAACTCTCTGCTTGCCTTAGCTCGATTCAAAGCGGTAAACTTGTAATAATGTTTTTAATTCCAGTGGTACTGGTGGATTTCCGCGGGAGATTCGAGCATGTCTTTGCGTCATTACGTCACATCTGTACACATAAAGAAGGAGTCTCGGCTAGTATAAGCTATATTGCGTGTGAGGATGTTGGAAGTGGAGATTTATAGCCTTTTCTCACAGCACTTGATATAATTAAACTTATCAATTTGATGGCGGATCCAGAAAGGTTCAAACGACAATCACCAGTGACAACAGATTCGCCCGCTGTAAAATGCAAAAGACTTCGTTCGGACTTCGGAGTGGCTACAGAAAAAAAGAGACTGCAACCGGACCCATGCGAAAACAAGGATACATATCGGAAGGACATTACACGCAATGCTGACATTGTTAACATTAACAATTTGAGAACAAAGTATAATTTGCACGGTTTTGCGTGATATGATAAGTGATTTTTAGATTTAATCAGCGCGATTTACTGCAATGTCAGAACCAGAACAAAAGTGGATGTTTCTTACTTGTTCAGATGACATTTTCCGGTGATACTATTATGTTGGTCATACTTCCAAAAAGAATAATCTGTGATTCTGAATGCCAGTATCCACACCGGCGCAGCGACTGACAGCCTCACTCTCTCCTCAAACATTGTGTTCATCCGTGCTGTGCCGTGTCGAAGTACAACTCACGTAAAGTTGATAATTCCGCGAATAACGGCAATTGCAGATTTCGAACAGAGATGGCGACAAAGAGGACAAACTGCGGACTGCAGCTTTAAGAAACCACTTAGCTTTATGGGTTAACATTACATTAAACTGTCAGGTGGTTGGGCTGTCATGAGGCCATTATAACATTTTAATGACAAATTCAATTTGTACCACAGTAGCTGAGGTCAAGAAAAATATTCATGACACAGGTACTGATATTGATACTAACTATTTTCCTTAATCTTCTTAAAGCGCAAAGGAGCAACTGTGTTTAAAGTGCTGGAAAAGAGAGTGTCAATAGTTTCTGTTGCAACACCAAGTTCTTCTAAGCTATCAGGTATGCTGAGGAGATTAAACTGATCAGGAAGATTATTTATAAAGCAATGTTTAGTGCTAGAAGTGATAGTTCTACTATGTAACAGGGAGTCGGCTTTGCAGCCTTGGCTAAATGAAGTATACACGAGACTATAATGATCTGAGATGTCATCGCTCTGCTGTAGAATACATGGATTCAATGTGACTATATTAGATCTAAACTATGATTACGGCAATGATTGGTTCCTGACACGTGTTGTCTAACTCCAAAAGAGAATGTCTCTAAATGCCAATCCCAATATGTCTCTTTCAGTATCTACATGGATATTAAAATCTCCATCAATTAAGACTTTATCTGCAGCCAGTACTAACTCTGATAGAAAATCAGCAAATTCTTTGATACAGTCTGTATAGTGCCCTAGTGGCCTGATCAAAATACAGTAGCCAGTACAAAATGTCAAATGGAATTTAATACTTACACTAGATAGCATTACATAAAGCTTCAAAAGAATTGTACTTGAAACTAGACCTCTGAGTAATACTGAAAATATTACTTAAAGTAATGTAATTATCTGGTTTTAGCCAGGTTTCTGTCAAACACAGCACATCTAGTTTAAAATCTGTGATCATATAATTTACAATAAGTGCTTTTGTAGAAAGGGATCTGATATTCAGCAAACTGAGCTTTATCATTTGTTCACACATATTATGTCTGTTTTTTATTGTTGAACATCAATTCATATTTTAAAGGTTTTTTTTGTATTCTTTTGTATTTATAAAGTTCAGGGAACAGACACGGTCTCTATATGATGATATCTAGGTGAAAGAGTCTCTATGTTTTGGGATTTCTCTGACTTCTGTGATATGAGGCGGCTAGCAGACGGTCGGTTTAGCCAGTCTGTCTGCTTACTAATCTGGGCCCCAGTTAGTCAAATTTCAACTCTGAGACTATATACCATATTACTAGCGAGAAGAGCGATACCACCCCAGGAGGGATGAATACTATATTTTTTTTCAACAGGTCAAGTTTGCCCTAAAACTTTTCCAATTCTATAAACCTATTAATGCCACTTAATGTATTAATATATATTTGCCCTCTGTAATCATAGTTTGTGTGAAAAGGAACAAAAGTTGTTGTTATTTTAATGCCTCTAGTGTTCATTTCAACTGGAAATGGCAACGTTTTGCAGAAATAGCATGGGTTAACAAAATTTACATGACAGACCATATATAGTCATCTTTACTGTTTATGAAAAAGCAAATGTGATCACAGAAATTTCTAGGTTGTATCTTTATCTGATGGAATGCAGAACATATCGTCTCATTGGCCATTATCTCGTCAAAAGTGAGAACTGTCAAGCAAAGATAATATCAAGAACAGCCACGTTTCCTCAAGTACAGCTATTGTGTTTTAAAAAGTAGATAAGCATTACATATATAAATATCAATTGCCTACACTAATACACAATAGCTACAAATACATTGACATTTTATTTGTATGTTATGCAAAAGAGAGGTTTTGGAACACTGTTCCATGCAATGGCTTTTTTTAGGGTCAAATAAATGCATGTTGCATAAGAGCTTTGTATATGAGATCTTTGGTAACTCATTCTGGAGATTTTCATCTTCAGATATGTACTGTTATCTGATGTAAAAGTTTTTTTATATCCTGTTGCTGCTGTTGGCGCCACACAATGAATATCACATGATAGATTGTTAGTGTGGTTTGCAGACTGGGAGTTCAGCATCAGGACATGAGAAAAAGACTAAATTCCTTTTTATCATCTGCAGCAATGCGATCAGCTTCAGACCTCACATCTCCTCTACACTAAAGTTCGGTAACACTTTATTTTAAGGTGACTTAGTTACACGTTACCACATGTTCTTACTATCAAGCGTAGCGTCAGTTCTGGCAGGTCACGTTAGTCAAGCTCGCATCAGCTGACTCTCAGCTGATCCACGTCTAACTATAGGAATACGACGCCTATCACTCTATACATTATGTAAGCTCCTTCAGTATTATCAGTAGCAATCGTGTTTCTCAGGAGCTAATTACCGTCCTCCACCCCCAGCTCCTCCTCTCGCCCAGTCAGGATTTGGCATTCTGATTCCCCTTGAATCAGAAAAAATGCTCAAATTATGTTGTACTTTAAAATCTTGAATTAATGATATGTGCTGCATGTTGGTTCTGGTTCTGTTCTGTTTACCCTAAGGGGGGTTATTGCTGCTCTCCCTGCTCTTGTCCATTCTAGGCTGCATGGATGCACAGCACAGGGAGTTCTCGCCCAGAAGGGAAGCATACCGCCAATCCAAACTGTATGCTATTGTCAATCGTATTTGACGATAGTGGTCCTGACAGAAATAGTAATAATAGTAAATTATGCATAATTACAAGTAACCAACCCAAAACCAAACCCTAACCGTAACCGTAACTATATAGAAAGTAAATGTAGTTAACTAATACTACTCAGTAGGCTACTTATTTGAGTAATGTAGCTACGTCACCTTAAAATAAAGTGTAACCTAAAGTTCTATTTATAACAACCTGACATACTGGTTAGGGGAACATTAAGTAATGTATAACAGAAATTATGATGATCTGTAGGAAATTTGGGGAATTTTTTAAAAAGTATTTTTAATGTTTCTATTGTATTTATGTACAATGTACACATAACTGTGTAATATAAACATATTTGTTAACTGACAACAATTTTTGTTTCAAAGTTTAACAGTTCACTTATTCATATACATTCAAAATTAAAATATATGAATCAGTTTCCTGACTTTTTTAACTTTAAATATACCTAAATATCTGTTAATGTAATAATATTTTATTAAAGTTATTATGAAGTGTTCCATCATTTTTATTGAAATAAATCTATAATAAAGATGGGTAAATGTCTATATTCCAAAAGAGACAGACTGAAAATTTTTATGTAAAAATATATATATTTATTAAAATGTATAAAATGTATAGACAAAGACAAAGCTGTTACAGATTATGAAAACATTGAAATAATGCAGGCTATCTCATAATACATTCTCATTTAAATGTTAAAAAAGAAAAGAAAAAGAAAAGTAAAAAGGTGCTCATTGCCCTCAATGTTTAAAAATAGAACAATGTCCCTTAGCTATTTATAGGTGTGGCATTTTCTTTGAGCAAATAAACATCATGTGAACCATTTAAGGGAAATTTATAATTGAGTTAAATTAAGTTCAATTGCCTCTGAATTCTTATTTGTTCCACTCTGTGTGGTTTCCTCTTCCTGAACTTCCATGGTGCAAACATCCAGAGGCTGTTGATCTTTCTTTTTCATTGCAACTATTATTTCCTCTTTCTTCAGCTGTGATTCTACGTCTTTCACTTGCATCTGCTCTTGTTTTTTCCTTTGTTTGTCGATTCTCTCCTCTTTCTTCATCTTCCAGAAGTATATCAGGTTTTTCTCAGGATAGGTGACTTTAGCAAGAGGCAGTTTATGAATGTTTTTTGTCTCCGTAGTGATCAGAAGGAAAGTGAGGGCAGAAAGACAGAAGGGCCAGGTGCATGCTGGGAGTCCAAACTGTCGAAATACCATATAAATCCGTTTAAAATCACACACATTTGTGTACAAATTTTATGTTTTGGGTTTATAATACTTACAGTAGACATCACATTTGCAATTGCCGAGCCGAGATATGCACAGAAGAATGCTACGGGAAAACGATTGTAAGTTTAGTGATTTGCCCATAATTATAGGAAATTGTTGTTACATAATCAGGAAGGAAAGGAAATATCTGATATGAACCTACCACAGGCCACAGCCAGAAGATGTGTCTGCCATGTGAGAGCGTAGAACATCCCACCAATGGCAATGCAGGCCAAAACACAGTTATAACCCCACAAGCCAAAGTAGATGTTCTGGAACGGTGCAGCAAGAGCAAGACCTGAAAGTTACGTTAAAGTTACACCTTAATCGTCAATCTTAAAATATCTTAATGCGGATGATATTTAATATGAAACATTATAATACACTTGGGATCTCTTACCTGACACCATACCAACTGCTGATCCAATAGTTGCATGTGCTAATGTTATGGGTGAGGAGATGAACAAGGCCATCATAAATATCCCTCCTGTCCAAGCATTGTCACACCCATATACCTGTCCAATACCCACAGGGATTGAGCTGAAAAGCTGTAAAAAAAATATATAAATATATTATATATTATATATAGATGATATTTAATATAGGCTATAATATTTTACTGCAGCAACAGGTATTTTAAACATTGATATTAATAAGAACCACTATCAATAGTTGAACACCAATAATAAATGAGCACCAAATGTGCATATTAGACTAATTGCTGACAATCCAGCTTTGCTATCACAGAAAAAATATATTCAAATAGAAAACAGTTCTTTTAAATAGTAATAATATTTCACAATATTACTGTTTTTACTGTATCTTTCATCAAATAAATTCTTAGCCTTAGAACTTTAAACTTGACATTAAATTTGAGCAGAAAATCTGGAATTTCCTGCTAGATTTAATTCCATAATGTCAGTTACAGTGTCTCATGATAAACCTGCTCTCTTTAGTGTCATGTGATATCAATCTAGAAGATTCCTAAACAGAACTGTTGCACAATCTCCCTTTCTTGTTCCGGGGGAGTGATGCAACTTTGGGACAGCTTTCCCTTCTTTGATTTTGGCCTCATTTAAACTTTTGAGCTCTTACCTTTGCATAATCCAGCTCAGACCATGTCATGTTATGCAAGGATGTGCGTGGCTGGATGAGAATCTGCGGGAAGTGATGATTGTAGTGGCCTGTGGCCACCATATGGAGGCACACTAGTATGTTAAAAGGAAGGGTAAAAACTGGCAGATCCCACCGACTGTTGATGGAAGCCAAGGCACTGGACACTATGGGACTGGAGAAAACAACACTGCTAGAATTCTATAATTCAGCACAGAGTCTAAACTGGTGGTTCTCAACTGTTGGGTTGTGACCCAAATATCGGTCACTACTAGGTAAAAAAAAAAATCTTTAAAAAAAACTACAAAACAATGATAAATTCTATTGTGTATAGTTTGTAACACCAATACACTTTTAATAGGGAGGAAAAATGCTTCCAATGTCTTGGAGGTGTTTAAGGGTCTGTGTTCAATCAGATTCATGCGTCACTTGGAAGCTAGGCAGATATAGATCATTTGCATGACACTTTCTGTGCCATGCCGTCATCCTCAAAATTTAAGAAAACTTTGCAGAGTAAAAGAGATATCAATAAATTGTTTGTTTTTAATGACATGTTTGTTCACTGTTGTATGATCAATCATTTTGGTATTGTGTTGGATCACCACTAGATGTCTAAAATAAAAAGCACAATTGGGTAACACTTTACAATAAGGTTCATTAGTTAACCTGTATTAACTAACATGAACTAACAATGATCAATACATTTGTTACAGTATTAGTTCATCTTTGTTAACGTTAGTTAATAAAAATACAGATGCTCATTGTTTGTTTATGTTAGTTCACAGTGCATTAACTAATGTTAACAAATACAACCTTTGATTTTAATAATGTATTAGTAAACTGAAATTAATATTAACTCAAATTAAAAAAAAATGCTGTAGAAGTGTTGTTCCTTCTTAGTTCATGTTAACTAAGGTAGCTAGCTAATGTTAACTACTAAAAATACATCTTCCCTGTGTAAAATGTCATGAATATTTATATTTGAAAAATATTTATTTAAATACAATCAGATAAGTCCACTAAGATTTTGTTCTAACATAACCCTGTTCAGAAAATGTTTAAATTTTTTAACATTCTTCTGTTACCATGTGAGAGAACATCAGTACCTCAATCATATGACAGACTTCAACTGATGGAACATTCCGTTTGTGTGTGTCACAGTTATCTGCCTTTGAAGGATCGAAATTCCTTGCATTTTAGACCCTGTCCCAAATAACACCCTAAACACTCGCGGTCTTCCTCCGTGTCCGCACATTTGTGACGTAACGCCACTTTGATTGTCAGGTAGAAGTCTGTTATGGAGCTCACTGAACATTATACACTTAATGACTGAGGATCACAGACTTTCGAGTTATTCTGGACACAACAAAATTGTTGCAAGGAGATGCATGACAAATAAAATCAATTTGTGCTCTAAAAATGTTTTGATATCCACCGACTAGATGTATTCATAGTCAGAAGCTAAAAAAAATCTGTACCCATCATACACTACATGATTGTTGCTGACCAAATTTCTGCAGACTGGATCTGACTGCAAATTGAGTGTGCAATAGTTGTGTAGTGTATCCCAGCCTTTAGTCATTTCCTTTTTTGATACAAGCCGTAAATGAACTGAAGAACAAAGAGATGAACTCACCATGCCATTGACATGAAGATATTGGGAAGAAGCAGCCACCAGTACCAATCTTCTGCGTTTGAGAAAACCGCCATCAGAAGACCAACCAAGATGCCGTTATATCCATACAGGCCGGCTGCGATAGCTCCTCTGAGGGAAATATCAAATATTGATTATAATTCTGAAACCACGCTCAAACATTTAGAGCATCAAAATGTAAATGCACTATAAGTCATCGCCTAAATACCTGTTCTGACAGAGGATGAGTGCAGAAATTGTAGCAAACAGAGTGCCAACAAAACCATTGAGTGCCCACCATCTGTTCTGAAGGATCAGTCCAGCAAAGATGATCAGACCACTGAGAGGGTTGTTCACAAACATCACCTGAGCTGCTCCACGCAGCACCCAGTCCACAATCTGGAGCAAGATAAATTGCCCTGCACAGCGTAAACATGTGAGAATACAAGTGGGTATAAAGAAAATCGCCAAAAAGGTTTGCATAGAAGATGGAACACAAAACTGTATTTACATTGTCCTAATCCTTACATTGTCCTTAAGTAATAAAATAATGACTTTTCTAGTATAACTTGCTACTAATATCCATATCTGTGTAATATGCATATTTGTGGTTAGGTATTAAAGGTCAAATTGGAAAACACGTTTGTTTGTCTCTTGCTTAGTAAGTGTGCATTGTTGGGTGTGGATCACTCATTATACAACTAAAGAAAGTAGTTAGTACATTAACTAGATGAGCACATCTAGCAGATTCCCACAGATGTAAAAGTACCAGAACAGTTTAATAACGACACAAAGTGTTACAATATGACAGTTGTTCAGTCATCTTTGTGGTGAAAGAAACAAAAATGTTAAGTTGAGTTAGAAAAAGGCTTTTCCCTGGTTGAATACGATCATTGATGATTTTCTAAATTACTTTTGTGCAAACAATCTCCTACTAACTATTCACTAGCAGAAATAATGTTGTTGTTTTTCCTTCTTTCTAAATTTGGCTCCTTATTGAGATCTAAACTACTGTAGCTTACTCTTGTACCTTTCATCCATTCACCAAACGCAGCCATGTCTCCAGTAATGTAAGAGAGCCATTTGGTGAGCTTTGCTTTAAACTTCTGATGTGAAATTGGCCTCTCGGGTCCCAGCGGCAGCTGTTTCTTCTCCTCTGTAGTTTCATGGACTGGATTTGCCATGAGTGGTTGCAGGTCCTGTAAATATCAAAGGATTTCATTGATATAAAAAGGATTGCTGATGAAAAAAAGGCTGAGGATTCATATTCTTTGCAGGGGATTGTTTACATTCTGACTCGAGCATGACCGGATTTTCCTTTACAAAAGACAAAAACAGGAAACATGTCACCTTTGTGTTTTGAGCACTGGAACAATGTGAAGTAGAAGTTCTGCAGAGATGTAGGCCAGCCTTCAAATAAAGAATTAAATATTATTAATGTATTTATTATTTCATTTTTCATTATTTTATAGATACCATCATCATACTAATTTAGAGAGAGAGAGATAGAGAGAGCGAGAGAGAGGAGAGAGAGAGAGAGAGAGAGAGAGAGAGAGAGAGAGAGAGAGAGAGAGAGAGAGAGAGAGAGAGAGAGAGAGAGAGAGAGAGAGAGAGAGAGAGAGAGAGAGAGCAGTTCTACCTTAGTTAGTTGTGTTCCAGGCATATATGAAGCCAGTTGAAGCCAACTAAGTCAACGCTCGGATGGTCCATAAAGCCACTACTCTGATGGTTTTATAGTGCTGGGCTGCATGTGCTGCTCCACCTCTATTCATAGCGCTGATGCAAATGAGTGATAAAGCCTCCTCGCATTCCTTACATTGACACTGACAGGTTATGATGTATTGGCTTATGTCAAGTTGTCAGAACAAAGATATCTCAAACAATGTCATATTATGAATGTCACATTAAAAATGTCATAATTGAGCAAGTGACACTTAATGACAGTTGTCATAAACATGCATGAAACCTTCATATCCATGAGTTTCATGTCATGATTATGAAGGTGTAATGTCAGTCTTGCACCCCTTCAAGTAAAGTGTTACCTTTTTTTTTTATTATGCAGACAAACACAAATTCGTCTCAATATTTAATAAGCAGATCACATAGAACAAATATGGATTAACACATACTTGAGGTAAATCGTAGCTTGATAATCAGCTTAGTTGGAATAAAACAAAAGGTTGTTGTTCAGGCCACTGGTTGTTATATTTATTAGCTGCTCAAGTGCATTTGTGAGACATAACTGTCAAACAGGAGTCCAGCTGCTCAGCTCTCTTCATGTTGGAGTTATATTAGTACTACCATTCAAAAGTTTGGAGTTGGTAAGTTTTGTTATTGTTTTTAAAAGAAGTCCCTTATTCTCACAAAGGCTGCATATATTTGATTTTTTTTTAAATACAGTAAAAACAACAAAAAATTTGAAATTTTGTTTTCCATTTCTCTCACATGATCCTTCAGAAATCTTTCTAATATGCTTATTTGTTGTTCAAGAAACATTTCTTACTATTATTAATAAAAATGATTGTGCTGTTTAATATTTTTGTAGAAGCCATGATACATTTTTCAGGATTCTTTGATTATTAAAGTTCTGAAATAATATAAATTATTTATAATTTTGATCAATTTAATGCATCCTTGCTAATTAAAAGTATTTTTCATAAAGGATGCATTACTGAACACAAACTTTTGAATGGTAGTGTATCTGATACATTTCTCCAGCGGTCATACATTAAATACTCAAAATAGTCTCAGTTACTCTTGTAACCTTGGTTCCCTGATGGAGGGAACGAGACATTGTGTTGAGACTGACACTGGAGGGCTGCTCTTGGGAGCCCCAAACACCTCTGAGGAAACTCCTGCCTGTAGAAACACAAGATCCAACCAAGGGTTGAAAGTGCAACGACAAATCGGCCACTCGATATGTGCCTCGGCACCATGTCCATCTCATGACTCGAACTGAAGCCAGTGCTGAGGCGGTCAAATATACATCATCCGAGTCGCATCACCATGGCCGAAGATGTCATATGCCCCAGGAGCCTCTAAAAATATTTCAGTGGTACCACTGTCTTGCGCTTGAAGAGGTTCAACAGTTCAGCACTAACTGAGTACGTTCTTGTGAAAGACGTGTTGTCATGGCAATCAAGTCCAACTCCACACCGAGAAAAGAGATTCTCTGCACAGGGGAGAGCTTGCTCATTTCCCAGTTGACCCAAAGTCCCAGCCAGGCTAGGAGCTTGAGGACAAAGTCCCTGTGCACACAGAACAACTCTCGAGTGTGGTCCTCCCAGGATTAGCTAGGATTAGGATTAGTGGGTTGTCGAGGTAGTTGAGGATATGAAGGCCCACTTCCCTCAAAGCCTCTGCGACTTTTGTGAAGACGCGAGGAAACAGGGACAACCCGAAAGGGAGGACCTTGTACTGATACCCTGCCCAGTGGATAGGTCAGCGGCCTCTCCTCCTTCCCTGGGTCATCCATCCCAGGGCCTTATGAAGGATGAGCGGTGCCACTTATTACCTCTGGACCCTAGTGCAGATCTCTCAATGCTTTGGCCTGGTAGACCTGCAGGATGGCCATAGCCAGTGAAGTCTTACAGGAGAATGTTTACAGGAGACAGGAAAGCGCGCATTGTGCCACGGTAGATCGACTTGAAAAACCACGCTCAAAAATGTCCAGACGTGTGTCGTGGGCTTTAGAAACAGGTTGTAGTAATCTTGTTAAAATGTTAGGAAATAATTATGTTTTGTTATCCTATTTATACTTAATATTATTATTATTATTACATTTCTTCTAAGACTGAATTTTTTCAACTCTAACTCCTCCTACCTGGAGCTTTAATGCTACAAGCACCAAATACCAACCTTAAGACCTTAAGAAGTTTGTTGTTATACAGTATTGTAACGCATTGGACTTACAGTGTTTCTATAAATGATGATCAAATATCCTAAACATCCCATAGGCTTACACTGGCTGAGCAATACTAATGCTGTCCTATAGAGGGGGCCACAGGATAATACATCTTTGAAATCCACTCTTTTACTCTCCTGCTGCGTCCCAATTCGCCTACTTATAGGGTGCTTCTCAATATCCCTCCTCGTCTCCTCGTCTCCTCGCTCCTCCGTCCTCCATCCTATGACCCGGAAACCGATCGAGCTCAGCCATCTTGAAGGACATCTCAATTCTCTTATTGCACCGCGAGGAGGCGAGGATCGAGGAGTGAGGAGGCTTCCAGAGGAGCTATGAGCGAGGATGCACAGTTGTATGCTTTGCGGAAGTGTTTTATCGACTAAACGTGACGCACGTATAAATTCTCCTCCCCCTTCACGTCGGTCACAATCATTTTAATTTATACTTTACCATTGCAGTTTATATAAAGCACACATCTCACATATTTCAACAGGGTATCTTGCTTTATTATTATTTATTACAAATTTCTTAAATAGCCAAACTTCAACAACATAAGGGCAGATCCTTTGAGCGCTGCTGATGACGCAGTGAAATGACGCTCGAGTGGTCAAGTATTCCAAAGTATTAAAAAAACTTTCCTTCGATTCCTCCGTCCTCCTTTTCTTTCCTTGCAGCCTTCCCTCGCGTCCTACAGGGGGTGGAGCTGAGACGCAAAGAATAGAAGCGAGGAAAGGAAACGAGGATGCACAAATAAGAAATGAGAAGCACCCATAGACGAATCCGGCGAAACTACCGGAAGTAAGCGGGCGCCATAACCATAGACAGTATAAGAAGTGGACAGAGCCATCTCATTGGAATTCAGTTGAGACAGTTGAAGCCCATTTTTAGCGATTTTTGAGCACTTCCGTTCCTGACGCGCAGACTCAACCCGACTCAAACTAAGCTTGATGACGTGAGCAACCTGTCTGACAGAAGTTAATCTTCTAGTAGCTGTGCGTGAAAATTGCCAACGTTAATCTTGCAGAGACGGGGAACTTGAGCAAAGAGTTCTTTGGAGTGAGTGAGCAGGAGTAAGTATTCCGTTGCTTTTATGGACTCATTATCAATGGGCTTCTCCCTTGACGGGACGTCCCCTCGATTGCCTGCGAGCTTCTCCTCCTGTCTGTACGGTAATTTCTGTACAGCGCGACAGAGAGTCGAGTGGTTATGACGCAATCGTTAGCCTATTTTTACTAAATCTGTTTCTACGGGGCCATAGTGTAACATAGAAGGTAATGGAGCCCTTTATACATTGTCGTGTTTCTTTAGAAATAAATAATGGACAAATGGAGTCTTTAAACGCCTCAGATGTAAAGTTATTCGCTGTCAAAGTGACGCAAAAATGAATGGGAGTCAATGGAAATGCTAACGCAAGTGAAGTTCTGCTACAACATGGCGGCACCCGGCCGGCTTCAACTTCCGGTCGATGGATTACCCCCTTGGCCATAACTGAGCTGTTGCTGGGTAGCGTTGCGCCATTGCCCCCTATTGTTTTAGTTGCAACTTGCGTCCACTGGAATAAACAGCCCACGATTTACGACTGTCACTAACGTTACAACTTTTATAATGTTGAGTGGGAAAACATGTTCCGTTTTAAATTGTTTCAATGGCGGCAGTAAAATTTCAATTTGGAAGAGAAAACATTGTGAGCTACATAAAATACCCCGGGTCGACTGCCCCTGTCTGTTGTTAATGTTTGATTTGCTTGACTGTGACAGAATTTTTTTTTAAATACAAAATTAAATTAAATGCAGTTTTTGTTATAATAACAATTATTTAATGACATAAGTAAAAAATATAAAAAATATGTAATATAGTGCTCAGCAAAATCTCTCTAGCTATTTTTTTCTATTCAATTAACATGCTATGGTCATTTAATGGCTTTCCTGAGCTAAATGTAACGTTATGTGACATAATTGTCCTCCTGCTGTTATATTGACCTCTTTCCATGGTTTAAAAACACTAATTGGTCGATATTATCTATACTTTCTAGCTGTACCTTACCCTTGCCTTTTGCAATGTGAAAATGAGACAAATAATGGACACAAATGAAAAACATGAATTCGTTTATTTGATGTCATTCATTTATTTATTGTTGCCAAATGGACAGATCTTTTTATAATTTCCTCGTTAGCTAACGTTAGCCTAGCTAGCTTGCCAAGCTATTTTCATAAATAATCTGTAAGATCGTTTGTACCTTCATCTGTGACTGGAGGCCACTGTCTAACATCATCAACCCAACAAGTCATTCTGCCTGGCTGTAGCTGTCATCGAGGGTTCGTTATCACGGAGGTTTGTTTACATACCGGTAACAGCCACTGATCTATATAATGACTGGATAGCTCATGACGTTCTAAACTGCCACAAAGCCCGTCTACGGAAAGCCTGGCCACTCCCTATTAAGTCCTATTGTACCGACTTTTTGGTTGTAGTTCCACCAGAGTTCCACTGGGGGCAATAGTCCGAGTGCAAAATGAATGGGAGTCTATGGGGCTAAACGGCTAAATTGGTCTTTTTCACCCGATTGTCATTGATAAATTTTAGATTTGAATGTAGTTTTTGCAAGTTTTTGGTCATTTAGCCATTTAGGATTTAGGATTTAGGATTGGGCATTTAGGGATTTAGGATTGGGCATTTAATCATTTAGCCATTTAGGATTGGGCATTTGAGGATTGAGGATTGAGGAGTGTATGCAAATAAGGAGGCGTGGCCCAAATACTGGAGGCTGGGTTTGAAATGGCTGGTGCAGATGCACCTTATGGACAGCCGAGGGAGCTCCAGTCAGTCCAGTGCTAAGGAGCACA